CAGGCAGGGGAAGGGGCTTTGGAGAAGTAACAAGGTCACTGCCTCCGGGAAGCCCTCCCAGGCAGGCCGTGCTGCCCTGAGAAGGGAGCGTGCTCGGTAGCACCAGGGCCCGCCAGCCGCACCAAGGCAGGCGCCTCTCTCTTCCCCCCGAGGCGCTGGGTGACCCCAGCTAGTTGCTGCCCTGTGCTGAGCCTCAGCTTCCTCAGTGAAAAAATGGGGCTTGAACTAGAACGTGTTCGGCAGCCCTGGGGGGGAGGGGGGAGACACTAGGGTCCTGGCCGGCCCCCAAACTTACTGATTCCAGGACCTCTGGAGGTGAACCCCAGATCTAAGCCCTCCCTGGGGCTGGGGCCCACCTGCGTGCACACCCCTGACTTCAGAATCGCTGCAAAGACTAAGTGAGGCCCTCCACGGCCGCTGCTGACCGTCGTGGCAGATTTCAGACTCTGGGGAGCTCGGGCGGGGGCTCTTTTCCCTTCTCCTTTCTCATGTGTGTTTTTTAAGAAAAACAAAGCAAAACACCCACAACCGGCCCTTATGGCCCCTGCGCCCTTTCTCCCCACCCCACCTTGGCCACGGGTAACTTCAATTCCGCTATCTCTGCCCACTAGTTTGCTGGTAGTTCTCTTCGTCAACTCGTCTCCCTGGTTTCCTGACATTACGCATGACGCAGAGCCATCCCACAGTCATCTTCCTGCCCGCGCAGCCCCTCCATCTCGTGCCCGGGCACTCAGCGGGCACTCGGGCGCCCACTCAGCGGGCACTAGGGCGCCTCCGTGGCCTGGCTGCTGTAAATGCCGCTGCACCGCACCTGGTTTTTAAACTGCACACACAAGGCACACTGGTGAGCAGATCACCTCATGCAGCAGCAGTTCCCCCAGGGATAGACCCCCAAGGGCTGACAGCTGGACTCAAATCCCCACACCCTTGTCCGCAGCTGCAGTACCCACAAGAGCCCGAAGGTGGCGACAACCCCAAGGCCCCAGCTGCTGGGCAGGGGAGTGCCACAGCCCAAGGGGGAAGAAGCACCCAGGGCCCCAGGCTGCAGCCTGGACACACTGCCCAGGGGCAGACGGCCACATGTCGTGTGACTCCGTCCACAGAAATATCCGGAATGGGCAAGTGCGTAGGGACCGGGAGCAGGCTGGCGGCTGTCCAGGCGGAGGAGCAAGAGGACTGGGAGGGGGTGTCAGTGGGCCCCAGGGTTCCTTTAGGGGTGACAACATGCTCTGACCGGACGGTGGTGACGGGCACGTGACTGCTCACTGGCATCCACCGTGGGTTGTGGACTGTGTGTGTCTTACCACAATTAGGAAGACACGGCGGCGGCAACCACTTGGGGTGTCCGCAGAGACCCCGCCACCCTGACATGAGCACTGCTGAGGGTTCCGGGACCTTTGCGCTCCTTCTTTGGGTTCAAGGGAACTTGATTGCACACTTACAGGATGTGCCTCTTTTTTTAAATCGCAAGTCAGTGAGCCCACACACGTTCCCCGGGCAACTGCTGCTTTTCACTCTCTGACACATCACTGACACCCCCATGGCCAGCCCCAGGCCCGGACAGACAAATTAAGTCATTTTGTCATAGCTGCTAACTGTGCCACCGGCGGCGTCCCCGGGGGCGCTGAGCACTCCGGCCCTGCCCGAGAACAGCCACCGCGACCCTGCTCGCTCACGTCTCCGTCTGCACCGGGGCTTCGGCTCCACCGCAGGGATTAGCTAAAGTGGGGGAGCAGGGCCGCGTCAGGGCGTCTTGAATCCACATTGATGGATCATGATCCTGCAGGGGCACAGGGAAGCACAGGGTCCCCTCTGGGGGGGAATCAATCACCACTGTCCCCCACACCCCCACATACATACAAACACACATGCACACGCACACGCGCACACACTCGGGCGCTCATGTGTGGCAACACCAGATGTTAACAGTATTTCTCATTTTTCCAACTGCAAGTTCCCAGTGCACACCAACCCAAGAGGCCATCACACAGACACCCCGATTTGATATGGCCAGAGGGGTGGGTGCCTGGCTGGGCTCTGTGCCTGGCTAGGGAACAGGGCAGGAGTCTGTAGACACCCCCCAATCCCCGCCCCAGGATGTGGAGAGGGCTCTGGAAACACGTGTGTTTGCACATGCAAGCTGGCAGACAATTTCAAGGGTTCAGGCAGAAAACCCTGTTGGGGAGCCCTGAACCCCGAAAGCTGTTCTTGGGTTTCCAGCATGGCGCAGACTGCGGCAGAGCTGACATTTCCAAGGAGCACAAACAGCGGTGTTTTTCTAAATGTTAATGGGTTTCTGTGCCCTCTGCCGGCTGCCGCTGTAGCGCGGTGGCGCTGCAGAGGCCCAGCCCAGCCACTGGAATTTTCCTCTGGCCTCAGAGCTTTCTCTCCCTCTCCTGCAGAACTGGCCCTAGTGTTGGAGGCTCAGAATGACTTTCTGGAGGTTGCTGAGGAAGCCCTCTCCTGAACATCCCAATCAGCAATTTCAGGGAAATTATTTATCTCCCACTTTGGGAATTATTACTTCTGGATGGAGCCTCTTATTGTATAAGGTTTGCTGAAAATATATGAGGTTCTCTGCAAACCGGGGTTGTATCGATTCCTGGCGAGTAAACATTTTAAGCAAATTAAGTGGTGGTAGTAATAACAATAATAATGGCTGCTGGTTTCCAAGTGTCTGCTCTGTGCCAGGCACTTCACACTCCGATGATGACAGGCCAGGCTTCACTGCCCGAGTGCAACGGATAAGAACCTGGGCCCAAGAAACAGCTCGTCGCCCAGCCCCCGGCCGCAAGGCGGCTCAGAGGGGAGTCTCACTGGACTGCCGGGCTGGCCACCGGCCTGGGGTCCTGTGGACACCCAGCACCTCGGTCATCTTTCACCCACAGAACTTGGTTGGATGAAGATGGGGGGACACCAAGTGATGGGGGAAGGAGCTGAGACCCTTGAGGGTGGCAATTTACCCCAAGGTCACAGAACTAGCAAGGAGAAAGGAGCAGCATCCCGGCCTACGAATCCACCACAGACGGGACAACGTTATCAAATCCTAGCAAAACGCCGGTGCCTCTGAAGCCGGCTTGCCCGTGTGTTTTTAAAAGGGAGGTTGTCGAGGGTCAAGGAGGTGTTAAGCTATCCTGGGCTAAAGGAGAGGTTTCCCTGTGGGGTGAGAACAACCAGGAGCCCCTGGAGGAGGAGGAATCACCCCATGATTCCAGGTCATGCAGCGCCAGGGGCCACCGAGGGCCCCAAGAGTCACAGCGGGGTAAACAGGCAGGGGCCTTCGGGTCTGAGGTGGAGAAAGAGGCGGGGGCAGGATCCCAGGTGAGCAGCTAAAACGCAGCAGCTAAAACTCCCAGGTGCTTGGAGAAAAGGCCAAGCACCAAAGGCCTGTGGTTGTGGTCAGCGGGGTCCACGGCGGGTCATTCCGAGTTTCCAGTGAGACACACGGGCAAGACAGTTCGGCCTTTTACAGAAAGAGGTGATAATAATTCATTCCAGGAAGACAAAGGGCACGGGCAGGGGTGGGTGTGGGTCCCAGCAGGGGGTGCCCTTGCCTGGGAGTCTCCTGGCAGCCAAAGTGAGCAGCGAGGGGCCCGCCCCCGCAGGGGTCAGCCTCTGCCCACAGGGAGCTGTCCCGCTCCCCAGAAACCCCCAGTTTCCCAGGACTAGCTTCCAGGCTGACATCAGGCGCCCTGGGGAGCAATGTCCCCGAGGCCCATGGGATGCCATGGCCCAGAGAACTCCAAGGACACCAGCAGCCTTTTCACGAGGTTGCTGAGCTCCAAGGGCCAGGCCACCAGGCTCTCAGTGACCAGACCTGAGGAGACCACAAGAAAGACACCCAAGCATTCTCCCAGGTGCCCACCTCACAAATAGCAATGATGTTAGCCCCTAAATGGCCAAAATGTTCCAGCCAAGCTCCCAGATGAGGAGCCTGGGCAGCCCCTGGGTATGAGGTCCTGCCTCCTGGGTCCTGAGCCCCCGCGGGGTCTCCACCCCACTCTCTCGAGCACTCTCAGCTCTGAGCAGAGAACATGCCCACAGCCACAGGGCAGCGCTGGCCAGTTGCCCTCTGGCGTCTCCACGCTACGCCAGCCACTCTTCCATGCGGGCGCGCGAGAGCCCAGCCCCGGGGTGCGCATGAGGCGCGGCCCCGGGAGCTGGACAGCACCCAGCACACTGTCCAGAGCGCGCTTCTGAGAAGCCATCATCGCTGGATGATCGCTGGACTCAGCTAGTTCTTCAAGAACGACCATCGCCAGTCCCTGGACTTGAGGTCCCACAAAAGGGTCTGAGAGCACGTGTTTCGAAGCGAGCGCCACCGGCTTGACGCCATTTGTTTTCTGATGGCTCCAAAGTATGACCAAGAAAACCTTCACAATAAATGTGTAATAAAACCTCTACAAGGGGGACCGGGCACGCCAGGGCAGACCCTGTTCTCCTGCTGTGGGCTGCCTGAGGCGGGATGCCACGGCGGAGATGATGGTCAACCAAGAGCCGGGACCCGGGAGTGTCCGGGTGGGCCAGCTGCAGCCGGGACAGTGTCACACGGAGCAAGTGGGTGGCCCGGCCTCTGGCCAGGAGTTTTACTGAATTGAAGACAGGGTGGGGGTGTGCTGGCCCCCAAAACTGGGGGGCGGGTGTCAGGAAGTGGGGCGTCCCTCACAGTAAGGACAACTTAGCAATTTTCCTGGCCAACTCTGGACTTTGAGTAATGTCACTTGTTAAGTTAAAAGGGTCCCTCCCCCACATACCTCATTAGCTAAATGAATTGACCCGTTGGATGCGGTTATTTAATGTCTGTTATTGACTTTGGGCGATGTCTGCCAAAAACAAGATCTCGGTTTTGACGGAGTTGAAGTCGAGCTACGTCTTTCCCTGACTATTATTTGTCAAGCAGACTGCTGAGCTGGGCACAGCCACGTCGCGCGAGCGTGAAGGCACATCACCGGCACAGATCTCCTCGCTATGACAGCAGGAAATGCGGCCAATTAATTTAAAAGCCAAATCCTGTTCCTGAGCTGTAAGTCGGAAAGAAGGGCGGCCAGGGTACAGTACCACTTCCCATCACTTAAGGAGCGGGCTCCGGAAGTTGTGTCAGCATATAGGGCGTCAGCAAGCAATGGGTCGTGGGGGCTGGAATGGCCCATCCCTACGCAGGCCGGCGAGACCCGCATGGCCTCAGAGTCCTGTGAGACTCAGCTTATGTCTTCACTTTCCTCGTGAAAGGAAGGAAAAGAGTCTGACAATGACAGGCAGTCCCCAGCTGTGCCTCAACCCTCCCCGCTCCTTTTTGCACCAGACCACAATATTAAAAACTTCTGACCAGCACTTAAAAATCAGAGGTTACATAAAAAAGCCAGATTTTTCACTCTGGAAAGCCCTGGAAACATGTAGCAGCTGGCATTCGGCTAATGGACTTCAGACAGGGCTGTGCACATCTGTTTGCTCCAGTCCCCACCCCTCCCTCTTGTCTCTCACACTCTCCTCACTCACCTGCTGTAAGGCAGGCCTGGCCCTGAGGATCTGCAGCTTTGGTGAGGTTCAGAGCTATAAGTGGGCACAGACTCGGCCCAAGAGGAAAGACAATGGCTCCCCTAGTTCTAGCAGGAAAAGGTAGAAGCCGGGAGAGGGGGCTGTTTAGACCACTGTGGATGGGACCAAAGCACAGAAGGGGCAGGTGATGCCCTCTTCTGCAAGCTCATTATCATCTTTTACTCCATCTCCTCCAAACCCAGCACCCTACTCCTCACCTTTCCACAAGAGCAACAAACACTCATGTTTGGAGAAGCAAACTTCTCCCCTGCTCCTCACCCCAACTCAAGAAGCAGGCCCTTCAAAGGCGGCTCCAGAAAACTTCTGGAACTCACCAGCCGGAGCTTTTAGTTCCATGAGTTTCACAAACAGATCCACAGCCCACACTGCTCACTGCTCACGACCTCCTGGCACCTGCTGGCCCCCACTGCACGTCACAAGGGCGCCATTCCCATCACCACCTGGTTCCAGCGCAGCAGCCGGGCCCCAGAAGGGAGCGTGGGGCCAGGCTCCCTTACCCCAGCAGCGTTATTGGGTGCAACACACAAGAGCCCAGATCTCAAGGCTGGCTTGGAGGCCCGCTAGGTCCGTAATGCAGCTAAAGGAACACACACACCTCCTTCCGTCCACACCCTCCAAAGCCACTTGCAAACAGGACAGATAATTCAGTATCTGAGTCAGATTCGTAGCTGTGTTTTCCTGCCTCCCCACCCACCCAGGGACCGTGGGTTTGAACCCTGAAAAGTTACCCACATGAGCTCTCACATGCAGACACCCCGAGCGGGAGCTAAGTTTTGAGCTTCTTGATGCTGAGCCCAGACTTGGCTTTCTGGAACTCGGTGTCCCTGAGCAGCTGCGACAGGTCCCTCCCCGCCATCTTGGCCTTCCAGTGGAAGAGAAACATGCTGCGCTCGCTGTGCTTGCGGTCCAGCCGGCGGGCCAGGGACAAGGGGCTCTCACCCCTGGCGTCCTTGATGCTGGTGGAGGCCCCGTAGCTGAGCAGCAGGGTGATGCAGTCCAGCCGGCCCATGGCCGCGGCCACGTGCAGGGGCGTCCTGCCCATGGGGGTCTTGCCCAGACAGTTGGCTCCTGTGAGATAAAAGAGCTGGCTGAGGGCAGGCCACCCACCTGGCTGCCAGTCTCAACTGCAGAAACGCGTCCAGGAAGAGAGGCGGGGAGGGGTGTGGGCCGAGAGACGACGGCCTGGGAGAACTGCCACCTGCTCCCCATTCCCTGCACAAGCATGGGGTGGGGGGGAATCTCAGACGTCAGCACCCAGCACCACCTGCTGCCGGGAGGGCTGACTCCCCGATGGTGGTCAGGGTCTTTTGAAAATGCCCATCTCACTCCCCCACTGGGGGCCATGTGTTAGGTCTCCCTGCTCTTCATCCCACCTCCCCAGCATCACCCCTCAGACTGCCCCGCCTTGCTCTAATTCTACCAGCCTTCTCTCTTTATCAGCCCTTCATCTGCCTTGCTCCCACATCCTGCCCCAGGCCCTTTGCACACGCTGCTCCTGCAGCTAACCACGCTCTCATAGCTCCCCCCGCCCCCGCCAGGCTCACTCTTCTCTTTCCTTAGGTTTGTCCCCCCCACCCCATAGCGACTCCGCAGACAACGCGTCTGTAGAACACGCTCCACACCGTTGACCGTGCAATCAATGATTGGCGATCACTTCTGACTTCCCTTCATAAACTCCACAGGGCAGAAAGCACTTGCTTGGACGGCTGCTGTTTTCATCCCCAGCACGTAGCACGGAGCCTGCAGAAGACAGGCACTCGGGAAATGACAGACGGCGGGCGGCCTGACTCATGGACAGACATCGCTTCGATTGAATTCCCCCCTGCCTCCTGCAGATGGATGGGCTAATGACAGGTGTCCAATACAGACTTGTTGAATTGAATCAAATTCTGGGTAACAAATATCATGACACAGAAAACAAGGCAATTCAATTACAGGCAGCTGACATTTCGGTAGCCAGTTTTTATGAGCGATGGCTGGTCGGTGAGGGAAAGTTTTAAATAGGTTCTCCTAAGGCCCAGCCGCGGCCCCGGCGCCTCCTCGCAGTGCCTGTCTGCAGAGGACAGAAAACTTGGCAAAGCCAGCTGTAATTTTTTAACGGGTGCTTTCAAATACATCACAGTTCCATCAGAGTGAAAATGACTTTTTATGAGCTTAAAGGACTTCTGGGCTGTGCAAAGCCCATATTTCATCTCACAACAGGCAGGGTGCAGGAATGGCGGGCAGGAAGAAGGAGACAGTCGGGACACCTCTCCCCATCAGGGCAGTGCAGCCGGGGCCCCACCGTGGAGGGGGCGCCGTGTGGAAGCCCACGTGTCCTGAGTCGGGTTGGGGTCCAGGTGCAGGTGGGGAAGAGCGGGGTGAACGCAGGAGGCCCGTTGGACTGGGAGATAAGGCCCCGAGGAGCCCCCGAACTATGGGCCTAACCCGTAACATGTTCTTGCTTTTCAGGAGGAGGCTGGGGTCTGGGCTGCGTGGGGCCCGTGGGACCTGACTGGCTTCCCCGTCAGGGAGCCTGCCCCGGGGGCGGGTGCGCACCACAGAGCCCCACTCCTGTGCTCAGCCCTGGCTGCAGCCTCTGCCTCTGACGACGGGGAGAGAGGTAGAAAGAGGAGAGAGAGGCGGAGAGAGGCCACTCAGTGCGGGAGGTGAAGACGGCTCAGGGTGAGGGTCTCCCGAGGGAAATTCCTAATGCTGGCAGGAGACTGGGGGTCCCGGGGGCGCTGCCAGCTGGGCTCAGGACCCCCACAGACCCTGCAGAGACCCTCCTCCAGCAGTGCTGGCGTGAACAGGCAACCTGGACAATCCCCGGCAGCCAGTGTGCTCAGAAAGATCCAGCCGGGAAGCCCCCCGGCTGCTCCCGGCCTCATGTCCTGACCAAGTTCTTCTTGAGGTCCGGTCACGAGGGGACAGGGCACCGGCCAGCCGCTTCTCGCACATGCACCCACCCGGGCCTACGGGGCCCTGGGCTGTCCCCAAAATGCCCCAACTCCTCAGCGGACGCCACAGGCTCGCAGAATTACCCTTTTCTAGAAGGTACTGCACAGCTTCCAAGTGGCCTCTGTGGGAAGAGACGTACAAGGCCACGAAGGCCCGCTGGGCTATCCATCTGCGCCACTGCCCCTCTTCAAAGTGCCGTGAGTTGGCCGTTCGGAAATAGGAGCCCTCGACCACACCAAGCCCGCAGAGCTGGGGAGACATGAGGCGGGGGTGAGCGTGTCTCAGATGCAGGCCCACCTGAGGGGCTGCATCCTCCCCAGGGGTCTGCCCCCCCTCCAAGGCCAGTGCTGGGCACACACCCCGGCCACCACCAGCCCCCCAGGAGGGCAGGGAGGACACTGCAAGCTCAAACACGTCCAGGAAACATGGATTTACAGCAGCAGCCTCAGCGGCAGGAAGCTCTTCCTGCCCTTGTTTTGAAGAGAGAAGAGCTTTTCTGGGTGTCAGAGGAAGATGGTGGTGGCTGCTAAGGAAGACACCAGCCCCCCGACACGGCCTCCCCGTGGGGAGTTCGCTGTTGTGGAGACCTGACGGGCTCTGACCTTCCGATCTATTTCTGTGCCCATTGTCTCTGTCAACTTTGGAACCCGCCAGACTCGGCTGACGGACGAACGACCGTCATCAGGCGCTGAGGAAGGCTCCGCGTCCGAGCCTGGGGACGGGGGTGTCCAGAAGCCGGACGGCCACTGCGGGGGCAGCGGGGAGCAGCACAGTCAGGGGTCCGGTCGGGAGGCCCCTGTCCAGAGTGGAGGGCCAGACACTCCCGACTCACAGCTCCTCACTCACGGTTAAATCGGAAGCCGAGTTTCCAACTTTATAAAACAGACACGTGGTCGATGCCCATCCTCAGGCAGGGGTGAGTGGGCGCCAGTTACGGGCAAGGGAGCTCAGCGAAACCTTGACCCCAAAGCAGGTGTGAAGCTAGCCCCACGCCTGACCACAGGGCGGAAGTCCGTGTGTCTTTTTCCCTGCTCTGAAACTTTTACTCAAATTTTTGCACAAAAGACTAAGGGAGCCCCCCCAAGCTGCCACCACCATTTACAGTTGCTCCGTGAAGCAGGGGTCCACTCTGAGAAATGTGAGACCTTAGCAGGATCCCCTTCCACGGCCGCCATGACCAGCTCCGTCCATCCATCATAGTGCCAGACGCACAGAGAGATAACTCCGCCAGGAACCACGTCATGAAACTTGAGCGTAGTGTCATCCATCAGTATTCCTAGGGGGGATAATTGTTTTCTTTAGAACAATGGGCATCGAAGATAAACCAGTACAATGGGTAAGTTAAGCGAGCCCCTGGCCTCGGCATCCTCCACCAAGACCATTTTGGACCATGGAGTGCTGACCTCCGCGGGGGGCTCTGCTAGTGTCCGTGTGGAGCTGCGAGTGCTCTTTAGAAAATGAATTTGGCCGCACTCACGTAGAGGCTGAACCGCCCCCCTCAAACATGGCAACCATTTGTAAAGCTCTGCAATTATAACTTCTCCCGCTGCGAAAAATTACATGACTCAGTAAAGTCATTTTATGAGGCAAACTCTAGAAACAGAGCTACTTCAACCTGCAGCCACCATTCATCAGACACGCACACGTCGGCGTCAAGCTCAAACACTGACTCTAGTTCTGCTGTCGTCACTTGGCTAAAGAAGTGACAACGACAAACATGCACTGGATCCTTCCAAATCAGCGTTGGTCCCCCTGGGCACCCTTGACCCTGGGACTGGAAAGTTCTGGGCATTCTCGGAAGTTGAAGGTGGCCCTGCTCCCCGCCCGCAGCTGCCAGAGGACCTGAACCTAGGTATGCCCGTCACGAATGTCCCCAGGCATTGTCAGCTGGTTCTGGGGACAGGATCCCTCCAGGTGAGCATCTGGTGCAGGTGTAACCACCACAACCTTGACATTATCTGTGAGTGGGCCTTGGGGTGTTGGGACGCCTCTGGCTATCCGCCGAACTCGGGAGAGGGCGGGCGCACTCACACAGCAGACGTTAGCTCTCCGGGGAAGGCCGTCAGGACCAGATGGGGTCAGAGGAGATTTTCAGGAGAGGAAGTTGTGATATTTAGTTTCCCCTCCTGAACACGCACCCATTTTATTGCTCGCTCACCCGTCCTCTTGAGCTCAAGAACAACTGAATAATTTGCGGCCTCCTCAAGCAAAACACCGTGGGAAGCCTCGGCTTGCCCAGGTTGGATGATCGAACTGCCTGGGTTTCCGGAGTGGGTTTCTGGAGCTTTCTGGTTTCACGAGGAGTGACCTCTGCCTGGCTGGACCTGACCCTGCCCTCTGGGCTCCACGGCCCCCTGGGTGATCAGAATCGGCGGGTGGGGGACGCCAGCAGGGGACAGCGATTCCCTCGCAGACCCATCAACCAGGGCGGAACACAGAGGATAGCGGGTCGGGGTGTAAGTGCGACCACTCGGCGTCCCTGCAGGTGCCAGGGAACCTTCCCGCAACTGCCCGGGGCTTGGACAAACGTCATCCTCACCAGCACCTGGATGGCTGGGGCTGACGCCGGACAAGCTCGGCAAGCTTCACACACATTCTCGGGGGGCGCCTCCCCGGCCAGCCTGGCGGTGGGGAGGGCGACAGCGCTGATGATTTGTAGGCAGAAGCCCACGTCCCCTCCGCGTGGCCGCTCCTGTGCCAGCGGCGGGCGCGAGGCCGCACCTGCCGGGCGCTAAGTGCTGCGGAGCGATGGTGACATCGGTGTGGAGTCGCCCGCCGCTTCCTTTCCCACTTAGCTTTCTTGGATTTATTGCTCAGCCACAGCTCCTCAGTGAAAATAAATGAAGAGACGGGGTGCCAGACCACTGTCGCTCGGGAGAAGTAATTTTCAAATGACTCCTTTTGGAACTCACCCCGCCCTCGCCGGCTCAGCTCGGCTTTCAAACTTGGTAACTACACAGCGGGCGCGAGACGCCTCTTTCCCAGCAAAGTCTCAACATGCACACCCGGCCCCCACCCCAGCAGCTTTCAGAGGCTCCTCAGAGCAAAAGCAGCGTGTCAGGGAAGAGCTGAACCCCGTTCTGAGACGGCCTCCGCCGGCAGCTCCCCCGGGCGCCGCTGTCTCGGGGTGGTGCCGAGGTCCAGAGCGCACCGCTGGAGGAGCGGGGACACCCCCCCAGACCTCTGGCTGCGCTCAGCCCTGCGGCCATCCGCAGCGCCCCTGCAGTGGCGTAGCTCACACGCCCCGCTGCAACCCACAGAGCTTTTCCCAGCTTCCTTTGCTTCGAGTGTTTTTGTGTTGATTTCAAGCGGGTGGGGACAGGCTGGAGCCCAGGGCTCCGATCCCGTCCTTATATCCTCAATATTGTAGGGCTCGCAGGGATGGGGCCGACAGCCCGGTGCTCAGGCTGGGGGAGGAGAGGGGTGGAGAGCCCAGACTGGCTCTAGTCCTGCCCTCCCTGGGGTGCCTGCCACGTGGGGTTGGTCTGGATAGGGGGCCCCGGGGCCCTGACCAAGCCCTAGTGAGCTCTGGGTGCTGGGTTCCAACTCCAGCTGGGCTGGCACTGAGTTCCTGTCATGGACAAGGACACAGCCTGAGATTCGGGGTTCTGATACGGACTGGGTTAGTGCCAACATTCGGGGTTCAAGTGTGGATAGGATTTGCTTTGCGATGTGAGGTCCTGACAAAGGCAGTTTGCTTTGGATTTGGGGTTCTGATGAAGGCAAGGTTTGCTTTCTGTTTGGGAGTCCTGGTATGGGAAGGGTCTGTTCTGGGGGGTAGAGTCCTTGTGTGGGCAGGACTTGTTTGAGGGTTTGGGATTCTGTGTGGCCCTAGGTAGTGTGGCACCCGGGGCTGAGGATTTGAACAGATCTGTCCTAGGATTTGGGGTCTTGATGGGAACAGATTTTGCTCCAAGATTTGGGGTCCCAATATGGGCAGAAAAAGTTTGGTCTAGAATTTGGGGTTCCAGTGTGAGTAAGTTTGGCCAAAGGATTGGGGTTTCAAATACAAGGAAAGTTGGCTTTGAGTTCTGGGGTCCTCATGTGGGCTAATTTTAAACTTTGGCTTCCTTACATGGGTACAGTCAGCTGAAACCTTGCAGTGCTGATGTAAACGCAGTTTCTGTGGAGATCTAGGGTTTGGATATGGAGAGATTTGACTTGCATTTTGGGGTCAAGTTGTGGGCAGATTTTATCTCAAGCTTTGGAGCCCTTCTGAGGACTTTGCGTGGGGCTCGGGCTCAGGTGTCGTCATGGTGAGCTTGGAAACTGGCTTTCAGGTGTGGGAACCGAGTTGGCTTTGAATTTTGGGGTCCAGATGCAAGAAGAATTCATTATGGGGTCTGACATCCTCATGTAGACAGAGTTGGCTGAGGAATTGGGGTACAAATACACAAGTAGCTAGAGATTGGGGGCTCAAAATTGGGCACGTCTGCTCTAGAATTTATGGTCCATAGTTGGGCAGGGTCTGCTCTGGGAGCTGGGGTTCGGATCTGGGCAGGGTCTGCTGGGAGCCGGGATTCTGTTGCCAGCAGAGTCAGGTCGGGGATTTGAGGTTCAGCTGGGCATGGTTTGCATAGAGACATGAGGGGGGCAGGGCAGTGTGTTTCCTGCTTTAGTGTCTGGAGTGGAAACAATGGCAGGTAGATCTGGGGCTCTGATGGTCACAAGGTTAGCCTGGGGATTTGGGGTTCAGTCCTTGGGGGCCAGAGCTTGGTCTGGGTCATGAGGTGGGCAGGTATATTCTGGACACAGTTGCTGACGGATGGGGGCATCTGAGGGAGTCAGAGTGAGCCCGGGGACCTGTGGTCAGTCTCCGGCAGGCAGGTGGGACCTGGGTGGGCAGAGTCCACGTGGGGCACGGGTGTCCTTGCGTGGACGTGGCGGGCGGAGGACAGGAGCTTCTGCTGTCCAGCGCAGCATGGGGGTTGATGTGTGCTCTGAGTTGGGGGCCCTAAGGAAGGCAAGGAGGCCGGCCCCCAGTTGTGGGTTTCTGCTGAGCACAGGCTGGTTTCAGGCTTGCAGTCTTGTGGGGACACTGCTGGCTCGGGAACTGGTTCCCGAAGCAGACTTTGGGGGGCGGGGGTTCTGGGCTTCCGGGTGTCCTGCTGCAGCAGTCCTGGGATTTGGTCTCCTGACAGGATTTTCAGGCTGGCCAGCCCCGTGTGGAGCTGACTCTGCGACCCCACACCCTACTGTGGCAGGATTTGTTTGTGGGTTGGGGACCGGCTGTGGACGGGGGTTGCCTGGAGATTGGAGGACTCGCGTGAACCCCTTTTGTCTGGGGCTGGGAAGTCCCTACGTGGCCAGGGTATGCTTTCCCCTCCGGGGTTCCCAGGGGCTTGGGCTTGATATCTGGGGGTCCTCCTGCGAGCTGGCGTCCCTGGGGGGGCCAAGGGCCGGGTGGGGAGGGCGGGCGGGGCAGGGGCCACCTTGGTCCAGGTACTGGAGCCTCTGCAGGTTGGAGGGGATGCCCGCGAGCAGGTCCAGCTCCTCCTTGAGCTCCCGCACGGTCATGTCCCGGCGGCAGTCGGTCACTCGGAACATCTCGCCGGTGTCCTCCAGCAGCACCCTCACGGGGAACGCCCGGGGGGCCCAGTCGGGCGCCAGGCTCCCCGCCGGCGGGGCCCCGGCCGCCCGCAGGTCCCGGTCGCCGGCCCGGGCCGGGGTCCGCTCGGGCCCGGGCCGAGGTTCCTGCGCGCTGGGCCGGGCCGCGGGGTCAGCGCCCGCCCGCCGCTCCGCGCGCCGCATGGGCTCGGCTCGGCCCGCGCCCGGGGGGCCCCCCAGCCCCCCCGCCCCCCCCCCGCCCCCCGCCTGCGTCATCGCCCCCGCCCCCCTGGAACAAAGGCCAGAGGCCAGGGGAGCCGCCGGCGAGGGGCCGAGGGGCAGGGCCCGCGCTTCTGGAAACAAGCGGAGATTGACGGCCCCGCCGCCCCCCAGCGCCCCCCCAGCGCCCGCAGAGGCCGCAGAGGCCGCCCCCCCCCGCGGGCGCCCCCCCCCGCGGGCGCCCCCCGGCCCCCCCGCCCGCAGCCCCTCCGCGGAGCCGCCTCCCCGCGTGGGCGCCGGCCGCGACCCCCTCTGGTCACCCCGGGGCGCAGACCCCGAACCCCGGGCGAGGCTCGGCGACTCGTCTTCGGGGCGCCGCGATGTGCGGCCCGGGGCCGGGCTAGAGCCGTGTTCGTAGCAGGAGTGAAAGAACCAGCCCCGCGGGAGGCGACCCCCCCAGCCCTGGGCCCCCCACGCGGGCTCGGGGCCGGACCCCGAGGACGCGGCAGCGGCGCGCGTGCAAGGCCCGCGGCCGTGGACTCCCAGGGGAGCGCGGGGCGTCAACCCCCGCGGCGGGGCGGGTGTCCGTGTGGTCCACGGTCAGGTCCCCTTTCCGGGGGGCTCTGGGGACACCCGAGGGGCAGCCCGTGTCAGAGCGCCGCCAGCGCCGGCTCGGGGGCGCACAGGTGGGGGCGGGGGGGCGCCCCGCGGGCTCGGGGCACGCTGAGCTGCAGACACGCCGCGGGACCAGACCCGCCCCTGCCGGGCAGACGCCGCATCCCGCGGACTCCTGAGCTGAGCTGATGCACCGGGGCTGAGATGATGCACCGGGGCTGAGATGATGCACCGGGGCCTGAGCTGAGCTGATGCACCGGGGCCTGAGCTGAGCTGATGCACCGGGGCCTGAGCTGAGCTGATGCACCGGGGCCTGAGCTGAGCTGATGCACCGGGGCCTGAGCTGAGATGATGCACCGGGGCCTGAGCTGAGCTGATGCACCGGGGCTGAGCTGATGCACCGGGGCCTGAGCTGAGCTGATGCACCGGGGCTGAGCTGATGCACCGGGGCTGAGATGATGCACCGGGGCCTGAGCTGAGCTGATGCACCGGGGCCTCCTCGGGAGCGTTCACGGCAAGTTGGCTCCACCACGCGGACGCGGACCCGCCCCAGGAGGGACAGACGCGGGTATTTTCCCTTAATGGAGAAGGAAGCGCTGCCCAGAACAGGGGCCCCGCTGGGAGCTGCTGCTTTGCTGCCGGACCAAGACCTTAACAACGTGCTCATCTCAATGTGCGGGCAAAAAAAAATTTTTTTCAATGCTTGTTCCTGAAGCAAAACAGTAACCCCAACCAGTCACCTCAGGCAAGCGCTGAAGACAAGCTGGACTGATTTTTTTTTTTTAAATATGTTGCCGCAATGGATGAACTGGCTCTGCGCTGAAGTTCCCGAAACGCGACTCTGGGTCCCAAGTTACAGTTTCTCACACATGGACCTTATTTTCTTTGGCACGGTGCGGATTCCTTCCTTTCTTTTTAAAGAACCAGCTCAATGGAATCTGGGGGAGGGGAAACATCCTGTATACCAGGAAATTCAATATATAGCTCAGAAATTTTATTTTTTAAAAAAAGAAAGAAAAAACTGAGAAGAAAAAGCTCCAAGGGAAGAATGGACGCCCCGACGTGCCCTTTGCGACGGGCCCGCAGGCCCCAACCCGCTGCTCCTTCCTTCCCCGGCCCCTGCCACTGGGGTATAAAAAAAGAAACGGGAAAAATAACATGAGCAGGCGTGCGTGTGCAGAATTTAATCCAACATTTATAGAGCCTTGAAGTATTCATTAATGAAAAAAACCTGTTTACATTCTAGAACCTCTTAGTCGAAATTCTGAAAGCAGAAAATCTAATGTCTGTGTCCCCAAGTCAGCCCGAAGGGTACTGTAACCACCCCCAAACCACAGGGCTGTGGGGGCAGGTGTGCAGGCAGATTAGAAGGATGGTCTCTGTCTTCTGCTACAATCCTAACACATCAGGGACGGTCGCGCACCCCTCGCATCTCCCTCCATCTCCCTCCCAAGCTCGGCAACGCACGACACCCGCACAAGAGTGAAAATGCTCCCGGCTTCACGCCTGCGTCCACGTCAGCACACATCCATCGTCGTGCACACAGCCCCGCAGGGAGTGGGGGGGGGTCGCGTGCCCCAGGGAACGTTCCGAGTACGGCTCATAACAAAAGTACAATATTAGAAAGACCGCCATAAATCATTCTTTAGTAGATTTCTTTAACTATCACATTTTTCAAAAGTAAACAAATCCAGCTCTATTTGCAGCCACTCAAAGGAGAGCATAAATTTAAATGATGTATTTGTTCTGTTCACTGATAGGAGGCTAATATTACATTAATATATTTTCTTCCTGTCAAGAGTTATTTACACATGTACAGTATTTCAGTTAAAAATAAAATATAATGCCATAAACTATATTTTATCAGAAAGTATAAGGGAAGCCAAAGATGCAAGTCTATTAAAGACTTAACGCTTCTAATAAACTACTTTATTGCGGGAGGGGCTAACGAATATCGTCTGTAATAGAAAACAAACTTCCCGAGGGCCCCTGCGGCTCGAGGGGCACCCATCCGCGGGCAGCCCTCCCCAGCCACACCCTGCACAGGCTCCCGGGCGCACCCGCTGGCTCTGGGGGCAGCAGCGGGAGCAGGAAGCGCAGCACAGGCCGGCCCTGGCACTGCTGCCGGGGCCCCGGCTGCCTGCACTACGAGGGAAGGGGACCTGGGGTACACGGAACGACGGTTCAGCGAGCCTGAGGTCTGTCCCCCCTCTGCGGGCATGATGGCAATCAGCCCCTCTGGCTGTGGCAGACAAGAGGCGGCCAGCACGAAATGACCAGATGGTGAGTGACCGCACGGCGGTCAATGCTGTTTTTCTAGCACAGCAGTGTCCGTCGTATTCCGCCGTTTGGGTTCTAGGGTGGCAAAAAATGAAACGTCTTGGTCCCGGTCTGACTGCAGAGCTAAGACGGTCTCTTCAACGACTTCAAGATGAGGGTTCCCGGCATTTCTAAAATACGCTGAAGGGAGAAAACACGTTTCAATCCCATGTGCCATGCACTGTGCTCCAAATCGTAACTTGAGTTGTTGGGTTTTTTACACCACGTCGCAGGACAACAGATCATTTCTCATAGCATAACCAAATACACAAGGCCTTTGAAATGATAAAATTGCCTTCATCAAGGGTAGTTTCTAAATCTGAAAGAGAGACTCTCGAGAACTATGAATATTTTTCAGAATTAAGAAGCTATTAACATAATCTTTTCTTCTCTTTGGTACAAAAGGACTGGCAAGGTGTGGGACATGGGGTGGCAAGAGCAAGTGGCAAAAAAAATGTGCACGGCTCTTCAGGGCCGGGGCGAGTGTTGTCCGCACTTGGGGGTACACACCAGCGAGCCGAGGGGCACGTCTGCAGGAAGTCCTGTGTGCGCTCCCAGTAATTGTCTGGGTTGGGTTATACGTGTTTTCTTACTGACTACAAAGTAATATGACTAACGTCTAATCCGAATTAGGGCTTAAAGCTGCTTATGTCATAGCTCAAAATCTACAAAAGTTTCCTTCGTTTCTAGAAGACTAAGTAATATTTGGCATTAAAGTATGTTTATTAAATGTAAGAACTGAAGTACATTCATTTCCTGAGCTATTTTTACATAATATAAAATACGCATAAAAGCGAATCTATCGATTTCTGTACCAAACCTTAAGTGTGCTCTCCCACAACGTGCGTTCCCCGAACCAAAAGAATGAGCAGTGCTGCCTTCAGTGAGTGAGGTTTACAGGTACAAGTTCAGAAAAACGGCCACATGGCCACATACCCTTTTCCAGGAGCGTCTGCCTCAGAGCCTTGGCGAGCAGAACCCTGACGTTTGGTACGGGGTCCGACGCCAGGCTCAGAAGGTTGGGGAGTAAGTGTTCGACAAACTGGCTCACGGGGATGCACTCGGCGCTCACCACCGCCTGCGGAGAGGAAGCCACAGCCAAAGAATTGACACCGTCAGCAGGCAGTAGCGTGTTTTTCTTAAACTGACACTTCTGTCACTCCTAAGAAATCATTTCAGGATGCGCTGGTCTGAGGTAGAGGGGCGTGTGTGTGTGAATTTCAAACTCTGAATCACTGAATTGAATCAGGAGCACAGCTAATGCTTTATGATTCATTAGGATGCTCTGGGCTACCAGGGGGGCCTTGATGGTGGAGGAAGCAGAGGTGCAGGTCTAGGTTTGAAAAGCTGGCCTCTGAGAAGTGGCGCCTCCTCTCTGGGTCTCAGTGTCCTCGTGTGTCCAGTGGAGAAGTGTCAGGGACGGCAGGTCACTTAGGCAGTCTAGTTAGCGCCTGCTGAGAATAGGAACCCTCATCTCCATGACCCTCAGGCTCTGGGGGCAGGGGCCACGCCTGCTACATCTCAGCCCCAGCCCTGTGAACACCTGTAGCACCCCAGCCTTTGCCCCGCGCTCCTGCCCCAGTCACCAGAATTCTCTCAGTTAACCCTCGCAGCTGCTCTTGCCGTCGGGATTAGCCTCATTTCACGGAGAAGGAAGTGCTGGTCTTGAGATCAGCAAGCAGCACCATGGAGAGGCCAAGTCAGGCCCATGGGCCCTAAATCCCAGCTCCCTGCTGCGGACAACAACTGCAGAGGCAATTTAGAAGGCATGTCCCTGCAATTTGCAGCAACATGGATGGCGCTGGAAGGGATCATGCTCAGCGAAATAAGCCAAAAAGAAAAAGAAAAATACCGGATGGTCTCACTCATAGCAGGAATCTAGAAAACTTAAATAAGGGACCAGGAAAATGAATAACTATAAGAAAGTGAAAATCAGAATCAACAAAAAACTATGAAACAGAGACACTTTTGGGGGGGTGGGGGACGGGAGGGGAGGGATTGGGATCAGAATGGGGGGGTTGCAATTGTATGGGGAATATAAAAATAAAATTTATTATTTAAAAAAAAAAAAAAAATAGAAGGCATGTCCCGGTGCCCTGCGAGGTGACCTGGGTGAGTCAGCCCACGAAGGCCTCAGGCACAGAAGCCAGGCACGTGACTCGGAGGAGGCGTGGCGCCGGGGCCTCCAGGAGGCAGCAGGATCGGCCATGCATGGAGAGGGCCAGTCTCCCAGGCTGGCTATGTGAATAATCAGCAGCGTGACCCCAAGGCTGTCCTCCTGGCTGAGTAGCCTCTCCTTTTGTGTTACCGTGGGCTTTCTAAATCTCTAATAATTAATTAGTGAAAGCCAAAAGCTGTAAAAACGCAGTGATTTTTCTTCAACAAAATTAGTTGGTATCTTTTCCTTTAGTTGCATCATGGATTTTCTAAATCTCAGATAAATAATGAAAAAATAAAAGCAAAATCATTTCATTGACTCTTTCTTCACAAAATGAGGTGAATGGTACATTGGCTTCTTCAGAAAACGCTGCAGCCTGGGCCTGTGGCTTGAGAGTGGGGTTCTCTGGCTGCCAGAGCTGCACTTCTCAGACTGGGTAGCCAAAGCACCCCTGTGATGCCCCTCCTGCCCAACAGGGGGCGCTGGTGAACGCTCTGTGAGGACCAGTTATTAGGGAGCAGGGAGCGTAAAGGGGCTTTGGAGCCTGGAGCCAGCTGATGTCTAATCCTGGCTTTCAGTGCTGTTGGCACAGCTGGGTGGGGTTTGGGGGGATTCACTATCCCAACCCCTCCACCTTTGTATACACTTGGAGAGATGCACAATGAAAAGTGAAAACCTTTCAAACAGCACGCTAGCAGCAAAAAAAAAAAAAGTATGGCTTTACATTTCCTGTGCGATCTCAGCAAGACACTTCACCTTTCTGAGCTTCAACAGCTTCATCTTTAAAAAAAAGCCTGACCTAGAAGTCGATGGGTCCGCCAAGCACAATCAGTGGAGGGTCCTATTACTGAGGACAAGATGTACGAGGAGATGCCTGGCACACAGAAGTTTCAGGAGACAGCAGCTGTCACCCCCAGGCCCACACGTCCTCCATGTGAAGGTGGTACACAGGCAGGGAGACCCAAGGAGCTGCAGGGGCTGCCACGGACTTCACTCGGAGGAGACCGGGTAGCCTCCCCAACCCACTGCTCTGTTCTTCACCCACCTTCCCTCCAAAACGGCAGGCTGTGGGGAAGGAGGGGCGGGGGGGGGGGGAGTAAACGGACCCCTGGAGAGGGTGTGACGGCTGCAGGACTCCAGGCCTGGCCACCCGCCCTCACCAGGCAGAAGAGCTTGCTCACTCAGGCTCCGGAGCCCAGAGCATGCTGGGCACACAGCAGCAGGAGCTCAGTCAGTATCTAAGGGGGGACTCAGTCCAGGCAAGTCACTTCGCCCCACGGGCTTGGCCAAAACCTCCCCAAGTTCCTGCAAGTCCCCAGGGGGTGCACCTGCCACCGACACCTGGAACATGTCCGCCACGGGGGCAGAGCCCCCCAGGTCATGCTAACCTGACAAATGAAAGCGAAGGCTTGTCTTCCAACCCACTTGGAGCAGTGCCGGAAGCGCAGGATGAGCTCATTGATGCAGTCCAAGCCCAGGGCACTCTCGCGGTGGGAAGAGAACTTCTGCAGAATCGCCACGACCTGTGAAAACATCAAGAGCGCCACGGAAGAGCCGCCATCTATTTGAATTATGAACACGGCTCTACACGGCAACTAGACATTTTTATGCACCTTCCACCTTTAAAATGAATTTATAAGGAGGGGAGAAGTAATTTTTGTCATGGTAATCATTAGAACACAGAGAAAAAGGATGTTTAAAAATATGGCCATGCCCATACACATACACTCACATAAAACCCTTCATAAAAATGAAATTTTAAAAGGGACTGACATTAGAAAAATACATTATTAATCTTAAGGTTCCAAATTTTAGAGAATGTCCCTTTGCCTAATAACTAAATCATTACCTTTCAGAACATGTCATTTTCATAACATTTTAATACCATCAGAGCACCTCAGTAAATCAATATTTTCCAATGAGATCCCCCCTGCAGTATTCAGCCGGCACAAGCCCACATCAGTCCGGATCAGCTTGTCCAGGCTGGCGCTTCTGCGCATCAAACACTTCTCCACAAAACCAAGCTGTGGAGTAAATCCAACCCGTTTAAGACGAAACACTAAGGTGCTGCTGAAAGGGTTCATGCAGGGGGGATTTATGCACACCCTCCTCCAACCAGACCTTCTACATCCAGAATAGATGCATAAATACATAAACATCAGCTGCAGCGGTTACGTGGGTCCTGATTGCAAAATTTAAGAGCCGGTTTCAGGGGTAAACTGACAAATTCAGTCCCCCCCAAAAAACAATACCACAGGACTGAACATGGAAGACACATAAATATCCCTGTTTCCAAAACTCACAAAGCGAGCGGCGCGGGCCTTACTAGTCTGGCGGCGACGCCGCGGACCCGGGACACCCTGTCCGCGCACAGCGTCAGCGCGATCTGCACCAAATGCTCGTGGACGTCGCCGGGGTCGTAGAGCTCCAGGAGCAGGATCAGCTGTCTGCAGCGGGAAATCAGAAACTGGTTTGGGGGGAACCACACCGTGTTCACCTCTCTTGGCCCTCACCTCGGGGCCGGACAGCAGCCGGCTGGGGCGCGGCCGGGCACCTGGGGGGCTGCGCGGCGGGCGGGGCGAGCCCCCAGTCCTCATCCCACGCACACATCAAACAAGAAGGAAATAAATTAAACTTTGTAAAGCAGGCCGAGGAATTTATGGACGGGGATTTAATACTTTCCTCCGGCCGCGAGCTGGAAAGGACACGCACCCCGCAGCCGGGTGGGGGGGCCGGGGCCGCTGAAGCTGCAAATTGGATTTTCCACGTTCGCGGGCGGCCTCGGGGCGCCGGCCCGGGGGACCCCGCGGGGCCCAGCCGGGTGGGGCGACGCGCCGGCCCCCCCTTCCCTCCCCCCCTCCCCCGCCCCGCGGGGCCCCCAAGGCGCGGGCGGGGCGCGGGGGAGAGCGGCCGGTGGCACCGGGAGGGGAAAGGAGATTGGGGGGCGGCGGGGGGCGGCCCGGGGGGTGACTCTGTGCCGCGGCGCGGGCTCAGCGGCCCCGGCCCCGTAACCGCGGCCGGCGGGTGACAGCCGGCCCGGCCCGGCCCGGTTCCGCCGGGCCGCGGGCCGCTAGAGGGCGCGCCGAGCGCGCGGGAGACGCGTCCGGCCCGCGCCCGGGTCTCGGGAAGCGCCGGGATCAGACCGAGCCGCGGCCACCTTTCGGGGCGCCCGCACCCGCCAGTCTCGCCGGCACGGCGCGAGGCCCGGGGGCCGGTCTCGGCGAGGCTCCTCGGGGCGCCGCGGAAAGTGAGCCCCAGACGCGCGGGCGTGCGTCCCGCGGGTGAAACCCGAGACCCCTGCGCCCCGCGCGCCCTGCAGGTGGGGCGCGAGGCCCTGCGGGGGCCGGGTCGGGCGCGGCCACCCCGGGGCGCTCTCATCCGACAGCCGCGGGGGAGGCCTTTTGTCTCTCCCCGGGGCGCGATTTCCCGCGGACCCCGCGCCGCCCGCGAGCAGGCCGTGCGCAGAGGGCTCCGGGGAGCTTCGGCAAAACCCGCCCCGATTAAAAGGGAAATACTGAAGCGCGGGTGATTCATCTTTTATCTGGCCCGAATAAATCAGCTCTCGGAACAGCAGGCCACTCCGGTTCCGAGCGCCTCCAGCCCGCCTCCACCGAAACCGAGTGTCTCCCGGGGACTGTGGTGTTTGTGCTTAGGGTTTTGGAATTCGGTTTATGCCTTAATAAAAACATAATCTCTTTATCCAAAAGAACACTATTACTGCTGGCCTAGAAATCAATTATAAGGCAGGGAAATTAAAAATTATTCCCTCTTAATTTGCCTTCTCCTTTCCCCAAACAGGTTCTACTTACTCTGCTAGTTCATACCGAAACCTCCAGTTCCTGCTGTTATCGGTCACTACAAATTCTTGAAGCTGATAAAGATATTCTCTCCTCTGGTCTTCATGAAGCAACTATTTTTCAAAAAATGTATATATAAATATCAATGTAGCACCCCCCACCCCCAACGCTCCCACACACTCGCTGTTTCAGGCCAGACACCGTGGCAGGCAGAGGGGCTGCTCCCCCGACCCCCACGGCCACCGCGGTGCCCTTGACTGACACCCAGTGCGACCCTGAACGCCCACCACCGCGTCCCTGGCTACCACATGTGCTTGTATACTTCTAGATGCCCTCTGGCTCTTGCTTCTTTCATAATTTCCTGCCTTAAATAAAGCAAAAACAAGTCTGTGTGTGCTCAGAAGATGAAGCCACCGCTGCTTCCCCGGAGGGGCACAGCCCTGGGGCCCTGGGGGCAGCAGGCCGTGGGCGCCCCCCCCCAGTGTCAGTGCGAATGACTGGTATCTCTAGGTCAATGTGAAGCTCTCATGTTTACTAATTATTTAGGAGGAAAAAAGGCAAGAAGGGAAGCAGCAGCACCTTGCAGAGGAGACCCCTTCCCGCAGGGCTCCCCCGGCGGGCCCACAGCCACACCAGAGGCCTGGGCTACGGCCTCCCCCACCCCCAGAACCTGGATTCTAAGAGTGGCGGCTCGGGAGGGGAGCTACCAAAACATTTACCCACCATGGGGAGACCCCCGCGGGAGGGCCCGGACCGCACGTGTCCACTGGGCAAACCCAGCCGGGCCCTTTTTTGCCCCCACTGATACTTCTCTCCAGGGTTTTAAGAAATTGCCTGGTTTTGCTTTTAATCCTTTTTCCTACCTTTAGGAAATCATACAGGTGCTTAAGAACCCCTATTCGCACTTCATCCAGGTCCTTTAAAAATCCGTTGAAGATGGGTACCAGGTCAGCGGCTGTTAACTGATCCCCGAGAATCACGGCCAGCTCGTGGATGGAGAAGGCAAGGGTCCGACGCACCTTCCACTGGGGGCACACAGCACACACGTCACATGCAGCAATGCAAGTCCACATCAGCAAGAGTGCAAGAGGCCTTTCTAGAGCAGACCGGGCACGCAGGTGCTGGCCACTGAAAGCCTGATCTCATCAGAGACCAGAGACCAGCATCCACGCCGGACAGCCGCCAAGCTTCGCCGCTGCTTCCTGCGCCTTCCTGATTGGGGGACCCACCTCCCTGTGCACGTCTGGAAAGTCCACATACCTGCACATCGGAAGCCAGCGTCTCATACGTGTCTTTCAAGCAGTGCCAATTCTGCCTGCCCAGCGTGAGCGCCACCCCCGGGAGGCTGTAGGCACAGTGCTTGGCTATGTCTGTGTCCACGGTCTGGGCGCGCGCCGGATCGGTCATGGACACGTACTGGTCCAGCAGGGGCTGAGGAATGACGTCCTGTGGCATGGGGGAGAAACAGGCTGTCATGCAGCAGGGGTGGAGGCCGCTCAGGGCAAACCGGGGGGAACAGCAGAGCAGAATGCTCAGCGGCACGGGAGACCCTCCAGAAGCTATAGGCTTCCTATTGGCAGGCACCTGATTATCCAGGAAGTGAGCTTTCAACGGGGACTGGAGGTAAAGCAACGCTCATGCTCATCTTTCGTAAGTCTGTCCTACCCGTGATGTCCTAGAGAACAGTCTGGAATCAAAGGCTGACCAGTCTGGGCAGAGGGCCCTTAAGAACAGGCGCTGCCTTCTCTGGTCTCACAAGCAGCCTGGCCCCTAACTCGGACTGTTACCACCGTTTCCCAACTGATGGACTGCTTACTCTGCCTCCTAAGACAGCCCGCTCCCTGTACCTCAGTAAGGTCAAAGGGGCACAATCATTTGATGGTTTAAGGAAATGTGGGTAGCACAAGGAGCCAATCCGTGAGGCGGGGCAAAGCCAAACGTGGCTCAATGAAAGACCAAAAACCTTCCAGGGGAAAAAAGCAAAATGACTTGCATACATGTTAACACAGAGATGTCAAATTCTCTCATTTGATTTGCTTTATTAAAATACTATTCTAGATTGTTCAGAAAACTCTAGAGACTATTTTAGACTGCACTTTAAGTTAGAGAGGAAACATTAGTAACCCAGATTGTGAACTAAGATATGTCATAAATATTGATGGAAGAAAAATATTTGATTTTCAATGGCCATTCTTAAATTTAATTCCAGAAAATGTACAGTTTGGAGCTGCTTTTTTTTTCCCCCCAAGAAACAAACCTGCAATTTGGATTTATTCTCCTCAATCAGGATGGGGTCAGGTCCCTGCGTGGTCTCCACACAGCCACTGGGGCCGCCTCGGGGCTGGCCTGGATCCTGCAGAGGGGGTCGGGCAGGTCACTGACTTGCTGCAGAGGAGTGAGCTGAGCCACCACCCCCACTGCTCCCCACTCCTGAGAACCCGCTTCAAGGCCAGAGGTGATCCAGGGACCAAGAGAAGAGCTTCCCTCCCAGTCCACTGCGCCTCCCCAGACACTACAGCACACATCTGCACAGCTAATGTGGCGCTGTCTAGACCAGTCACTGTGAGAGCCAGAGCCACCGTGTAATTCCAAGATGGCGGGAGGAACTTCCACAAGGATGAGGCTCAGGTGAGGAGCACCGCCCACTAGGCTCTGCAGCCACTGTTCTGACTGGCCCCAAGCTCCGTCAGGACCGGCACCCTCAGGTGGTCTCCAGCTGGAGGCAGAGCACTCCAGAAGGCAGGGTGTGGCTCGCATGGAATAGTGACAAACCCCGCTTTTCCTGGGAACCGGAGGTTGCAGCAATGCTGGGTGGAGGGAGGGTGGAGAGGCAGGCGGAAGACCCATTTAATTTGAGTGAAGAGATGCAGCTGACACAGAAGTGTTTACTCAGAAAGCTGATTCTCAGTTTTCACTTGTGCAAACACTAGTAATGTCTGCTGATGAACTCTCCATTAGGTTAACAATTAAAATGAGCGAGAACATTCAGCGGTGACATATTGGTCTCTGATCATTGATTAGCATTAGCTGAGATGGACCTGACCTTCTTCTTCAACCATAACATGGATTTCCGACTTGCACTGGAAATGTCACACTGTCTGCCAGCTCAATGGATCCTGACAAATCAGCTCAATAGATGATCCGGGAAAGTCGATTAATATACCAATAGATGCTTGGCTGCCCCGAGACACACCACCAGAACCTTCAATTCCCAGTCCTTTCCCTGAAATGTGCTGCTTATTTTAGTAGAGAACATAATAAAACAGAAATATTTTGGTATGATAACCTAAGACCTCAATTTCTCTGAGTTAATAAATTCCCATGTATTAATAAATAATAAATCATCAATATTTTTGCAGGAATTACTTTAGTTCAAAAGTCTTCAGTGCAGTGGGGATGGGCAGCACTTACCCCAGCCTTATTAAGGCTCAAGTCAAGCACCCCAAGTCAAGGTCACCCCAGCCAGCACAGTGAGGTCACCTGGAAAAGCCACCTGGCAGGAACAGGTGCTTCCACCACGGGGCGTTTCGGGACTAAGACAGCCGAGCCGGCGCGCCAGGGTCAAGGCCAAGGCCAAGTGCACCCCCAGCCTCCCACCTCTGTCCTCATCCAGAGAGAGGACAACGCTTTGGGTTTGAGTTTTTTGACTTTCCTTTCCTCCTCCTTCTTGTGCACCTGGACACATCCTGACCCACCCCGCTGGGACGTGAGGAATGGGCTGTGCATTCAAGTGCCTGCGCCCGGGTCAGCACCCAACGGCGGAGCCGAGTCCCTCGGCCCCATCATTCTAGGAGCCGGCACCAAGGCACGGGCTCTCCTGCGTTTTTCCCTCTCACGTCTGTTATAGGACAAGGCAGCCCCGTAGGGCCGCAGCCCCGGCTGAGCCACCCGCACAGTCCAGGTAGCGGGCAAGGATGTGAGTTTTCTTGCTAATATTTTCAAAACCGGCAACTAGGACATCATCTTGTGTCTTACTAATCAAAGGCAGCATTACCAAACTCACACACTTTACCGCCAGACCCTGACCATCTTTGCTTTATTTTGCTACATTGGAACAGGCCAAAGTGGCAGGGGAAGTGATAAATTAGTTCGACTGGTAAAATCAAGTTAGAGACTGTGTGACTGGAGCAAGTGCTGGCCTGCGAGCTGAGGATGAGATGCTGAAGAGACCGTTCCCCGGGGCACCGGGAAAGGAGCCGGCCCATGCCCTCAACTTCAGGCTCACGGGCCTCTCCCAGAGTCTGCGTCTCTACTAAGGCGCCAGTGAAAAGCCCCAACCCAACTCAGCCCAAGCACAAGTTCAGTAGAAATGAGGAAGGCAGGGAAGCCTCAACCACCAAAAAGCTAGAAAGCTTTGGAGAGACTGGAAGTGAGGGAGAAGTCAGGCCCCGCCCAGACTGCGGGGTCTAGACCGCAGAACAGAAAGAGGTGAGCACCACAGGAGACGCCGTGGAAAGGGGCTCTGCCATGGGGGCTGGAGGCCGGGAGCACCCCGAGGCCTCTGCCAAACCCCTCCCAGTGCTCTTCAGAGTGGGAAACAGCTATGAGCAGGGGCGCGGAGGGTTACGGGGCTGACCCCCAGCTCCCATCCTCTTAGGGGAACAGGGAGGAGGGAAGGCACTTTTTGGTCTCCCCACTCCCGTTTTTGTGGAGGAGAATCAGGGTTATCAATCACCTGATTGATTGGTTGTCTAGTTATCCAAAACATGACCTTAAGAATAAAATTAAATTCACCATTTATCATCTCTGCCGGGATATATTAATAAAAGAAAAGGCAGCCTGGTGATTTCTGTCACGTCCTCGGTGGCTGAGGGACAGGCACACACTTACTGTGCTTTGCAATGCCCTGGCCCTGGAGAGCCCGTCCAGGGAGGGTGCGGCCATGGGCCCGTCGGGGCTGGGGCTGGGGTCCGAGGTGCTGGCTCCGTGGGGCCCTCCCGGCGTGCACACGGGCTCGCTCACAGAGTCCAGCTGGGCAGCTCTCAGGGCAGCTGACAATACCTGGACTTGAGCTGCCAGAAGAGAAGTTCAGGAATGTTAATGACTCGCTTGGCTGGAGGGGATTCAGTGTAGGGGCCCCCCAACAGGACACCCAGCCGGGGGCTCAGGGAACAGTGCTCACAGCTCGCGTTCTAGGCCCCAGAGCCAGCTCTCCGTGAGGAGGGGACATTCCCGGCCATTAACTTGAAGTAATCCCTAGTCGTGCACAGAGCTGCAAACCTGAACTCAAAAGCCACCCTCAGCAACTTGACGCCATCGTGTGTCACAGGAAGACAAGGCCGTGGCCCTGAAGGATGCCACGCAGGGGGCCATTGCCTGGGTGAGGGGCTGATGCTCCCTTCACACAGCGGGGCCACCCTCGGGCGCACGCATAGGCGAGGACTGAGCCATCCATATGCACAAGATGAGTGAGGCTCCGCCGAGCCCCAAGGACAGCTCATCCTTTCTGCCCCCAGCACGAATGTTTGAGACTCTCCCAACAGCAAAGACGACATATTTCACATGCCCTTCTGGAAAAACAGATTGATGCTTCCCTGTCTTCAACCACCCCACACACACGCGCACACACACCTTCCTGCATCCCGTTTTCTGAGTTCAATTTAACAGGCCCGGGGACTCAGTAAGTCCAGAAGGCATAGGGGTTTCTCTACTGCCCAGGGCCAGGGTCCACCCCACAGTGAAGCAACCAGGCCCTTCCAGACACATCCAGTCCACAAATACCTGATGTGACTCTCCTGGGGGTCCAGATCCCCTGGGCCTGGTAAAAGCTGTGGGGCCTCCTCACAGAGAAATGGTCACCCATGCAGATGCAGATGTCACCAAGCCTGGCCTCCGCACACACCACTGTGTTCCCTCGCGGTCTTCAGATACCAGGCCAAGTGTCCCCTGCTCTGCAAGGTCCTCTCACAGACATTTCCTCCATGCCCAGGAAGGACTGGTTTCCTGCCCTGTGCTTCCAAGGCTGGCCATGCCCACAATGACGCCAGCCCTTGCCACGCCAGACACTGGGGTCCGCAGCCCCCTCAACCAGACTCTGAGGGCCTCACGCCCCAGTCTAGGTCCCTGCCTGGAGGCCAGTCCAGCTTCAGAAGCGCTTCCCCACGCAGACTCTGTCTGCGGCCATTAGGAGCGACATGTTGCACACACTCACTCCCCCACAAACACCGACTTAATTGCCTTTATAAATTTAAAGACAAAGCATAATCGCAGGGCTAACTGGATTTTCACATCTCCTTTCCCGAAAGCTTCACAAATCTTTGCCCAGCAACAGCAGCCAGTGGTGTTTTTTCCAATTTTCTCCAACTAAAGGATGAATACAAATAGAGCGCTGTTTAGAGAAAGCAGCGGCGTGATAATGGGTATGGATCGCAGGGCAGGCCTGCCTGATGGGCATTTACCTTGAACGTCCGGGTTGTTGATAATATGCTCCTGCAAACTCTCCAGGACTTTCTGAATCTCACTCCTGGCCACACAGTGACTGTGCACAGCTTCGGGTCGGCCAGTGCTCTCCTCCTGCGGCCCGGCCTCGCTCAGCAACAGCTCTAAGTCCTTGCTTATATCAGGGAGAGGAGTTCGCCAATAAAGGAAATTATTGAATGTATCCTCAGGCCCCCCTGGGCAGGCGCAGGAATCTGGCCCAGGCTGGCTTTCGACGGGGAGATTTTTAAGATGAATGTCAGGAAGCTGTGAGATGGCACTGGCCTCTGGGGACAGCCTGGTCAACCCAGCTCCTGCCAGGACAGAGTCTGCCACTGGATTTTCCGGTAGGCCAAGAGAGGAGCTGCTGATGGGCAGGACAGAGCTGGTTTTGGCCGAGGTACGTTCTGCGGACAGGCCCGGCTCTGTGTGCACTGGCTTTGGTGAACTAGGTTAAATTGAAGAAAGTACACTTTTAGCACCATGGATAAGACAGGAAATCGGATGGGGAAACATGAGGCCCACATCCGGCAAAGCCTGGTCCTCCTCACCCCGTGGCCCCCGACCTCCGGCCTCCCCTCTGTGTGTCTCCCAGGGCCAGAAGGTAATGACCTCATAGGAGGATAAGAGCCCCAATCAAGTCCCCTCTGCCCCACTGGGAGTATTATGTGCACTGAAAATAGCACAGTAAAAGTTCAGCCAATCGCTCCATTCTATTCAAGTGGTGAATTAGCCCGGCTTCTGCTGAGACACCTTCAGTACAAAGACTTCCTGCACTTACTGCTCGTTAGCACCTCCACCAGGGGGCAGGCATTAGAAAATAAATGGTGCCAAGGCTGGAAGTGCTGGCTAGTTGTTAACCACTTGATGAGGTAGGTGGGTGCACACTGGTCGGAAGTATGGCAGAAACTCAATGAATTTGGATGGAAAATGATGGCAGGAAGGAGGCACCAATCTTTAAAAGGATTTGTATTATCTGGGATGTAAATGACTCATGCTCACAGCCCTGAACAATATTAACGATGGAGAAACACTTAGAAACTACTCCAATCGGTCTGCTGAGTATGGGCCATCATCCTCAGAGAAAAGATGTGAAAAAATACCCAAGACTGATCACTAGAATGTACTAGAAAAACTGCAGGGTCTACTAAAAGTGGGTGAGGACTCAGCCTCTATGTGCTTGAAAGAGTCCATGTAACTGGGAGACTTCACATTTTTCCCTAAGTAAATGATCCAAAGAACTTCATTAATCAAAAGTAAGAGAAAAATTTCTTTATAGGTTATTTAATCACTACTCTCTGAATATTTTATCTGAATTTAGGAGACACAGTAGCTTCATTATTTATAACCCAGTCATCATGTTTCAAAATCATTATTGCAATTACTTTTTGCTTCTTTACATAATTAAAGCTCTAATATTCCATCTTGCCCAGAAGGTCACTGTTACTAAAAGTCCAGACAAGATAATTGCTAGAATGTTCGGCGGGTGCTTGAGGTGACACGGGGATCCTGGTAATTATCCTGGCCAGGGCTTACCGGGTTGAGGCAGAGTTACCACTCTGGCCCGCACGGGGTGACCGGCGGGAGAAGTCGGCCTCCAGATCCCGAGCGGGCGGGCGAATGCTCAGGGTGCCGTCTTCTCGAACGTACAGGCCAGCCCTGGAGGGGTTTGCAAAGGTGGAAATGAAGGGGCCAAGGGACTGGAAGGCAGCTTGGCGCACCTGAAACCAGAGAGAAGAGCGCTGAGCAGGGCTGGGCCGGGCGGGACCCCAGGCTGAACACCGCGCCAGCTGGCAGCCGCGCAGCGTTTCCTCACGTCCAGAGAAACGGGTCTCCACAGAAAAAGGGGAACTCTGGCACCATCATGCTGTTTTCCTCTCCCAGAATATTAACTAATTCCACACAAGAATTCCCGACCTTGCGGAGCATCTGAACAGACTCCTTGGTGGCCCCAGGCATGTTATGACAGTACCAGAAAAGGGAGCAATCCACAGTCACTTTCTTCCGTGTGGATTCTCATTTTTACAGTGTTCAGTCACCACAATGCCAGAGCCGGGCCACTTGCCTAAGACGCACCAAGGCTGCTGAGATTCTGGGGCCCCAGCCCCCAGGTGGAAAGACAAGACCAGTCACCAGCCCCGACGCCAGCCCCGGCCTCCGGCCTCCGCGCTTACCCATCGACAGGGGTCGCTGATGAGTCTGATGAAGAGAGGCGACAGCTGGCTTCTGCGCACCTCGGGGGACGTGCTGTAGGACACGGCCATGAAGCACTCGGCACAGGCCTTGCGCATCCCCCAGACATTGTCCGAACAGAGCTCAAAAAACTTTGGGATCTGCCAAAGCAAACAAAATCGTGCTACTCAAACTCGGGTGCCCGGAGGAAGGGCAGAATCTGCTCCAGTGACACGAAGGCACAGCTGCGAGTGATCAAGTGTGAGTTCATGTTTCATGTGTTACTTGGTATGACTGGTAGGTTATTTGGGGGCCTGGGACACTCAAATATTTTCCATATGAATGAACGGTAATGGCTCCCTCGCTTTACGCCACTCTGGCTTACGAACCATTTCTGCAGAAGTTCCTCTTTCAGATAGCGGGGGAGGAACCCGTACTGAATCATCGTGCTGTTCACCTGACACTGATATACAGTTATATATCAATTATACTTCAGTGATGTTTTTTAATAAGGCTTTTTATATCCTTACGTAAAACAGTCAGCCTAAAATGTCCCACAGATGAGGATCGATGGCCATGGAAATAGCCACTCCAGAAAGCTGAGTGTGCTGGTCACCGTCATTCTTCCTTCAAATACCTTATGTAGAAGATGCCATTCACCATGTGTTCAAAGCGACAGCCCGTTATAGATTATTTTGGGTTCAGAACTACCTTGACTCGGCTTATATCTTAAATAAAGTGAACATCTGAACTGAAATTAAAAAATCGATATAAAGATTATACTTCTGTAGGTCAAGTCTCAGCCACATGAGGAGTCCAGCCTGCAGAACAGAGCGGCTAGCGGGTGGCTAGTGCGCACCACTGCCCCACGCCCAGGGCTGGGTGGCCTGGGAACCAAGCAGGGCCAGTGAGGTAAAGAGGCTGTGGGGCCTGGGGAGGGGCGGGCTCACTCCCGTGGGCGCAGGAAAAGCCTGCCAGAGGTAGAGTTGAGCTGGGTCTCCAGGGGGAGTTGGAACCCCCGGGTTGTGAAGACCCCAAGAAAGGAGCAGTGAAGTCACAAGGGGCAGAAGAAAGGTGTTGCTTGCACGAGGGGAGGCTCTCGCCTGCTGGACCCCAGGATCACCAGGGGGTCTGTCAGAAATACAGAGCGCAGCCCCCCAGAGGGCCTGCCCCCAGTGATTCAGATGCCTGGTCAAAGGGGAGACCCACCCAGGCCAGAATTCGAGGAAAGGGAAGGATGTGGCAAGGCCAAGAAAGGTCTGGATTTATCCTGCAAACCAAGAAAAAAAATCCCTCTGGTTTTAAAGCCCACACGCGAGGTGACAGAGCAGTACGGCTAGCAGTATCCTTAGAGAGAATGGCTTAGCCCAAGAGAGGGGCAGGGCAACTTGACTCTGAAGATCAACAGCAAACGCCCGCAGGAGGCTTCTCGTCCACTCCACAGGTCTGTGCCGGACACCCGGGAAAATCCTTAGCTTCACAAGCCAGGAAATTTGAAATCGATGCGTGCAATATTGAGCTGCTGTTCCAAAGCAGCAGACTCACAAGCACAACATTTTACACTGGTTTTACAAGCACACTAAGAGGTGCATCAGCAATGACAACCGGCAGAGCCGTACGTACCAAAAATTTCTCTGTGGCTTCTTGTCCAACGGCGTGACAGATATCTCCAAAATTTGTAGCACACACCTTAAAATGGCAAAAGGCATAGCCATTATTCTCAGCTTTCTCTGTCTCTTAACAAACTGTGAACTCTAGCAAGGGGGGAACTGGAGAGTGATCACCCCAGTCAGGCAGCTAACAAGCACGGACCAGGCCCCACCACCCAGGAGCCCCGCCCCCTGCATCGGGAACAAAAGATTTGCAACAGGGCACCCGACTCTAGGAGTGTCTGGCTCCTAACCGATCTCAGTACGTATTACATTCGGTGAGCAGTGGAGCAAAAGGGACCATTAACTTCCTCTGCGTGGTAAGTAAGACCCTTTCCGCCCGAGCGTCAGGAGGACAGAGCAGAGGGAAGCTGGCGGTTACCCAGCAAGGGGGAAGCGGGGGATGTCTAAGGAGGGGATCTGACTGCCCCCAAAAGGAAGGCTCTGACAACCAAATGACCAGCAACTTTAAAAGGAAAGGGCGTGGCGCTGGAAGGTGCAGTAAAGATGCGAGGTTTCTGGAGCAAATCACCCCAGATAATGAAAGACTCTGCTCATCTCATCAACGGCATCTAAGCTCAAGCCAGCGCGGCCCCATCAGTTGCCTCCTGCACCTGAGAGCAACAGGTGTGTTCGCACGGGGCCTCATCTCCAGGTCTCTGTTCATCTCCTAATCGCAGCAAGACGGGCAACACCATCCACACACTTTCCTCACACAGTGCACGTGGGCACATTTTTCTCTCAGGCTGTGTCTACTGAGAAAGTCCAGACACCTTAACAGAATTGACTGTGAATTTAAGCCCTTGCATTTGTTAAGTTTTGAAACTCGATGCTCCCACCTTCCGAACTTGAAAGAGCTTCCCGTCCACACACAGCTCACAGAATCGCGGGAGCAGCAGGCGCTCGACTGTGCCCTCACTCAGCACGGAAGCCAGTCTGCAGATTATCTACAAGGAACAAGAAACTCAGGGTCACTCACGAGACCAAACCGTGAGTCTCACGCACCAGCTAGATTCCAAAACCCAACATTCAAAACACTGCCAAAATACCCAAGAAGCAAAAAAAGAGAGAAGGTCTTCTTTTGAGTTTTGGCAGGTTATATGATCAACAGAAGGCCAGCATTTCTCAAGTTCTACTCGGACGGTCCACGCAAACCTTAGGATTCACCATCCACCAGGTACTGCGTGCACCCAATACATAAACAGTTTATGCACATGAACCCCACTGCACTCTCCCCAAACCCTATGACACGGGGATTATACAGCCTCACTTTTCTAGGTGAAGAAACTAACACTCGAGTAGGGTAGGTGGTGTGACTGCAACCATGTAGGAATGCAACAAGACACACAGGGATAGCTGGACAAAATGCACAAAGTGACTTGCAGGCACTGGGAGTCATCACGCGCTGGCAAAAATGACGGGGAACAGACGCTTGAGAGAAGGGAACCTCAAAGGGTAAGTGCACACTGCCGGTGCTCATTTGCCCAAGGGCACCCGCCACTCTGCGTGGCTGAGCAGCCCAGTGAGGCCTCAAGCATGAGTTGGAGAAGCCAGAGGACTGAGGCTGAGGCCCAGCGCAGCAGGAGAGAAGGGTGCAGAAACCCTAGCAAGGAAGGAGGGAGCCAAGGAAGGGACAGCCGCAAGTCTCTGATTACTCCAGCTCCGCTCCGCAGTTGACCTCTGAACAGTGCAAGCACCAGGAGATGGTGAGAGCCTCAGAGAAAAGACTGAAGGAACCTAGTGGCTTCAGGGCTGACTACTGCAGGGGAAACAGAAGCTGAACAGCTGGTCAGCTCAGAGGAACATAACAGAACCCAGAAGCTCTACAGCGTTTCATCAAGAAGATACACTAAACAATAAAAAAAGCACAGACATAAGAAGGAATAGGAAAAATGTGACCCACATTCAAGAAAAACACCAGCAATGGAAATAAAACCACAGAAGAGATGGAGATTGAAATTAGCAGACTTTAAAAGGACTTTAAAGCAGTTATTATAAATACCCTCAAGAACTGAAAGGAAAATGGGTCATAATGAATAAACAAATAGAACTCACCAACAAAAAAAAAAAAAAAAAAGGAAATTATAGAAAAGAACCAAGATTTCAGGTAACAGCTCAGTAGCTTGGTGAGATTTACCTTCTTGCAGATAACAAATTATAGAATCTTGAGAGAAAAATATAAAAAACCAGTTGAGAGGACTGGCGTGCAATCGAAAGGCAGGAACTAGAGGGAAGGTTCTCCTTAACAGACAGGCCGCAATGGAAGAGATTTGCAAGAAAGGTCCAAGATCTGTTTAGATCTGTGGCTGACTGCTAAACTATACTTGTGGGGGCTGGAGGGGGAGGGACCTCAGGGGATCCAGCAAGAAAGCACTGCCAGAAGCTTTAAACAAGCTGAGCAGAGGAATAAGGTGCCGACTGCCAGGAAGAAGCTAGCAGTCAGAGATCAGGCAAGATAACTGCTAAAAGTCACTTTAGAGAAATATAACAGAATCTAGTGCCTCTGCCATGTGCAAATGATGTTTGGTGTTCAATCAAAGTTAACCATAGATTTGTTAACAGGAAAGGGGGCGGGGGGAGGGAACCAGTCAGTGGGATAAACACTAAGATGATCCAAATATTGAGCCTACAGACACTTTAAAAGGAGTAATCACAAACATATTGAGGAAAATCTCTGCATAAAATAGAACATATAGGGAAGTTCTGTATCATGGAGATATAGAAGCCTTTAAAAAAATGTCATCTGTAAATTCTAGAGCTGCAAAGCTTAAAAACTGGGGGAAAAAACGATGTTAAGGCCCAACAGCAGATAAGAGATGACCAAAAGTCATTGAACTTATAGATCAATAAAAATTATCAAATCTGAACCTCAGAGAGAAAAAGATTAAAAAAAAAATTAACAAGCAGGACCTCAAGGACCTGAGGGACAACACTGGGTGCCCCACGTAAGCATAAAGACAGCCCTGTGCTCCGCACCCAGGCAGAAAGGGAAGAACAGGATGGAAAACAGTGCCCAAAGGCACAGCAGTCAGGAGTTGAGCGAACACCCCGCGAGCACCGGGGTGGGGGTGGAATGATGATGATGGCCTGCAGGCAATGCCTGGACAGCAGTTGGAGAAGCCACAGACTTCCCTGGGAGGGAGCAGAAGCACTGCTGGTTTCTCAAGGGAAAACGAGGAGGACCGAAGCCTTCGGGGCACCTTTCCAGTGCCACAAGAACAAGCAAATCTATCAGTTCCCAATTCTGATTCCACTAAAACTACCCCTCAGAAAGGATGGCAAAAATACAGACACTTTCAGACAAACAAACAGGAGAGATTCTGTCATCAACAACCACGTGACAAAAAGTTCAGCAGGAAATTCTTCAGGCTGAGGATGGAAAGGCAGCCAGGAAAGGAGGACTAGAGAGCAAAAAGGTAAAAATGGGGGCACAGAAAGCTGCATGTTTTCCCTTAACTTCTTCAAAAGATATTGCTCAAATCAAAATTAGAGGGCTGTTATTGGCAGGTTCCCATGAGTGGCTGTGAATGGAAATGCATTGTCGCAAGGTGCTGTATTTTTAAAACTCCTCAACGGTGGTATTAAAATGCACTACTAAGAAATACTCAGGCCAAAAGAAGGCAAGACAGAATTCAAAGAGGTACCTAAACAGATGAGACCAAAGGAAAACAATAAAAGGGCAAAATCCCAATATGTCAATAATTGCATTAAATATAAATGGACTAAACAATCCAATTAAAAGGCAGCAAATGCTAGGCTGCATACAGCAGCAACAAGGCTACGGTAGCAAAAGCAAGTGCACTTTGAGCGTAAAGACATGAAAGGTTGAGAGTGAAAGGACATAAGCAAATGGGTGACGGCACACAGCAAGCAGAAGAGCACAGGCGGCCAGGAGACTCAGATTATAGCCAGAGATAAAGAAAGTCAACTCTTAATAAATGTGTCAATACATCACAAAGACACAGCCACCAAATGTGAGCCTTAAATGCTTAAAATGGAAAGGAGGTAGGCGTAAAGATATTAAACTTCCTCTTTAAGAAGCCAGGAAAACACAAGTCAATTGAATTCAACAGAAGGAAGGAAATAATAAACAGCAGAAATCCATGGAAAAGAAAATAAGCAATAAAGAATCAACAAAGCCAAAAATTGGTTCTTCGAAAATATTAATAAAACGGGTAACTCCTTAGCAAGACTGATGAACAAAGGGAAAGAAAAAAACACAAATTACCAATTCTTAGGGGCATTAAAGGGATAAGGGAATATTGTAAACAACTTTATTGTGAGAAATTAATGTAAATGAAATTAATAAATTCCCTAAAATACATAATTTACCCAGTGACGCAGATGAAAGGACAAATTTGAACCACCCCATATCTGAATTGAATCTACTCTCAAAAACTATCTTATAAAGAAAACTCTAAGACAAGAGGCTTTACTGGTGAGTTCCAACAAATATTTAAGGGAAAAATAACACCAATCTTAAACAAAATCTTTCAGAAAATAGAAAAGCAGGGAATACTACCCAACTCATTTTTGAGACCAGAATAACCCTGATTCTAAAACCTGACAAAAACATAATAGAAAAAGAAAATTGCCTACAATAGTCCTCTTGAATATAGATGTGAAAATCTTCAACATAAACCTTACCAGGTGAAGGGGCTCTACACAGCACAGGGCTGACAAGCCCCGCGCGCACTGTGGGGCCTGCGGGGAGCATGCTGAGAAGTGTACTTACATCGTGTCAGAGTAGAGCCCCCTTTATACTTTGGGGCGAGGGTGGGGGGGAACTTGACAGACACCCCCTCCATCTACCAAGTCGCAGCTGCCAGAGAGAACCGGAGCAGGGCCAGGACAGACAGAAGTGGTGGCCTCCGAGGACACGCGAGGACAGAGCACCACCCACGCGGATTTTGCAAGAAATGCAGAACAGCTATCTCCAACAGGCCCCGGGACATCCAGAATGAACTAGCCTAGAACATGTCAGCCTCACAAAAATCAAAGAGAGGCCCAGGCCTGAGAGACCTGCAGCTGGTGATCCCAGGTAGGACCTCGGACAAACGACAATATTTGAGCAGGAACTGCGGATGAGATCGTTAGTATAAAATCAGTGTTAAATTTCTTGATTCTGATCAATGTACTGTGGTTGTTTAAGAGAGAGATTCCTTTTTTCTAGAACTATACACGGAAGTATTTAGGAGTGAAGAGCACATTGTCTCCAATTGGCTCAGGAAGAATACACATGGATGTGTACGTACATGTGCGTGCACACACGCACACATGCGGGGACAGGAAGATGGGCGTGTGGCGCTAAACCACATACACTACTGACGCAGCACGGTACACTGGAGTTCATATTTCTCTTCCTGCAACTTTCCTGCAAGTTTGAAATGAAAACAAAATGAAAAATTACCCAACAAGGTTATTTCTGCTCCTCCCACGACACTGCCTCTTACAACAGAGGAAGGTCCCGCCTCAGCAGCCCACGGCTGTGCTGTCTGGACTCTGCACGCAGCAGACGAGGGGAATGAATCCCACCTGGAAACGGGGGGCGGGGGGGGAGGTCACCCCACACAAATGAAGAGAAGGCCATGTTTTCCAAACCGAGGGAGGGACACATATTTCTGCCTAGCAGAGTCGCCCAGAGCGACAGTGACAATAAATGAGGGCATGAGGCTTCTGTATCCAGGGTAACAGGCGACTGAGGGGTTCCCAGCATCTCCATGCATCCTCTCCAGCTGCAGACCCGCACGACCACATGACTGCCCGCATGAAACAAGCCCACGCTCATTAGGAGCCGGCACACCGAGGGTCCAGGCTACGCTCCTGGGGGCCGACACGCCCATGCAAGGACTATCTTCCCTCAGTTGCTGAGAGTCAACTCTTCTCTTTAACCATGGCTTCTTAAATAAATGCACAAATAAAAATGAGCTTAAAAAAAAGGAATGACGACAAAAAATGAGGAAGCCTTAATGTGCAAACGTGTTTGGAGAGAAAAACAGGCTTCTGACAATTAATTATATTCTCAGAAGGCTAATGGCCTTTCTGTGAACAAGAGGAATTATAATTGGTCTCCAGTGGCCTGTTTACGCTGTCCAGATATAATTATGGGGTACAGCTCTTCCAGTTTTTACCGATTCATTCATTCAACAGCTAACATTTATTTAGTGCTGACTCTGGGCCTGGTATTATGCTGGGTGTCCAGGGCACAGACACCGCAGCCCGGGGGTCAGATGCACCCCATCTTCTAGGGCAGGTGAACAAAGTTCCCAATTCAACTGCTAAGTGACAGAAGCTAGATGTGACCCGGCCCGCAAGGAGAGGGCCACCAAAACTGCCCGGCACGTGGAGAAAGACTCCCCGAACATAACGTGTGTGGATGTGTGTGAAAAAGCGAGACATGAGACATGTGGGGGAAGGGGCCGCATGTGATGTGCCCTAATAGTCAAGTACAATGCCAGGCCGGGCCTAGATGGTGCTCTCTGATTTTCCTCATTGTGTGTGCACCAGGGTCCAGCCCCGAGTCAACCAATGTTACCTTCCAGAGAGAATCAGAAGTCTGGTGGACAGTCCCCCTCCTGTCTGAGGAGGCGCCTCCTCAGGTGTCCCGAGAGCTGTGTGCAGGCGCAGGGTGGTGGGGCGGGGTCTCGGCCCACGCTGCGAGGAGGACCCCAAACACAGGGGCACATCCCAGTTTGCGTCTGTCCTCCATCACCTCCTCCCAAAGACAAGCTGTTTTGGGTGTCGCTCACACCCAGCTAAGCAGGGACCCTGCCCTCCTTGTGGAGTCTGCTAAGTTACACGTGGCCTTTTCCTTGAATGAAATCCACTGTCCACTCACACTGCCATTTCCCAACTAAAAAGAAAACTGTCCTGGGGACCTAGGGGGAGGGCCCAGGCACCCGGTCTCCACCTCCAGGGGAGGAAGACCCGACAACTCCTGAGTTGGACCACAGCACACGTGGGCCAGACAAACACCTCACATCTGGCTCCCAACAATGCTACCTGGAAAAAGAAGTGCAGCTCCTCACCACCCTGTTAATGCGGATGTACGTGGAGGGGAGGGCCACTTCTGTTCTTTGCAGCCACCTTTAAAGCTTATACACTCGAGTGATGCGACAAGCAACTCACTTTGAATGAAAAATATAATTTATGTGAACTAATTTGTTCTGCAAGTGATTTGTGGAGACATCTTTCTGAAGGCTGGTTATATTTTCCAAATATTTTTAACAACAACAACTGAAAAAAAAAAAAAAAGCCACACACAAAAGAAGAATGTTGCCGACAAGAATGGAATGGTTGGAAACCAAACAAAATAGAAAGCATACCAACATGTCTCTAGCATTATTTTTCACCGTATTATCAGTCTGTAGGGAGAAGATATTTGGTTGTCAGTTGTAACCCTGGAAACTCGCCTAACCAACTTTCAAACAAAAAGAGCTCGTTGGCCAAGTCCACTGCTCCATTGCCAAATACCCGGCTAAATGAGATTACCCAGGTTCATTCTGCAAAATAGATTTAAATTTTTATAGGAAACCTGAAATTCATAAAAGAACCCTGGAGAATTTGAATTTTAATGATCAATTATTCTTCGGCCTGATTCATCTTATAAACATATGGAATATGCAAAAATTAAATTCGTTTGAAAAGCTAGACCTTTAACTCATAGTTAAGGAAAACTCTGACATCTAAGCAGAATAATTGGCAAATGTTCCGGTGCAGCAATACAGCTTTTTAGCTCCGTGTGTATGATGCTTCCACACTTTAAAAAAGAAAAGAATTCCTTCCCCGAATGTTGTCCTTTCCCAGCCAAGAAACAACTACCATCCACATCTTCTGTGCTCACGGTGAGGCTCATGGTTGAGGGCAGCCCCGTGCGCGGGAGGTGGCGCCAGGGTGAGTAGGAGGCCGGGGTCTGCGGGCAGCACTGGCAGCTGCACTGGCTGGTCCACAACAGCCTGGGAGACAGGATTCCAGGAACAAGGAGAAGGCCTTGTTTTACAATCAACTCACAGAGGGCACAGAAGCTCAAAAACACGAGCACCCGCAATATTGGCCACCGAAGACAGAAGAGCTCTAGCACGACTGCGGGTCCCCGGATGGTGGGCCTCGTGCCGATGTCAGCACAGATGCGTGGACACAGGATTTCCCAAGCCGCTGTCCACATTTGGGCCACATTTGTATTCTGCAGGGCAATCGTTATCTAAGTGACTCTCATTTGCTTACTCGTCTGCTTAAGTCTTGTCCTAATCAATAAACACACATCCAGCTTCTTTTTGATTTTCCAATTACCCCCTAAAATCACTGTATCAGATTAATCTGGTATCAGACTAAGCTCATCACTTTGGAAATAAAGCCTGTGATCCAAGCAGGTTCAAGAACTTATCCACAAGTCAGCACCACACCCAGAGGGCGTCTTGGCTGCCTCAGCTCTGCCCAATCTGATTGCCCAGGCTTTGCCTCTTCCAGGTGCTGGGATCTAAGGACAATCCCGTAGAAAGTGCACTCGGCGCAGGCATGGACTTCCATGGGCCACACCACCGGCTTCCTTGTTTATGGGAACAGTGCTGGCCGAGGCTGAGCACACGTGGGACTCTGGATCCTGCCCACACCACCTGGGGACAGTCCCCCAGGCGTGGGTATCATCCCCTACACAGACTTACGTTCACGGCTTCTGCTTTATATTCATCATCACTGTCGGGGGCAGAGAGTGCCAGCAGGATCGGACATATTTTATTTTCAATATCATGCTGGAAAATTAGATCCTGTTCCAGAAGAACCAAGAGCACTTCCTGACTCGATTTTCTAACCTAAAAAGGAAAAAAGGCAGCAGGTGAAATATAGAATGAATGAAGGGCCCTCGCGATCAAGAGCAAATCCCCGCAACACACTGGCTGGGGCCTGCCCACCTCCCCATGGGCAGCCGGGACACACAGGTCGGTCTTCTGGTCCTGGGATTCCTCTTCCTCGGAGGCCTCAGAGCAGGCCCCTCCCCCTGCTCACTCACCTCCCATGGTTCCTCTCTCCTCCCTGAACCCCAATAAGGTCAGGTACCCATCTGTACCTAACTGGGCCCCACGATTTACTTCACAACCCACATCCAGATGTGCGCGAGCACACACCTGCATTTAGGAACTTTGCTCCGTGTGACTGCATACTACATTCTGTTTCCCCACTGCGGGGAGGAAATGTGGAGCGCAGGGGCCAGGTCTGATTTGTCCTTTGCCCCCCAGGTCACCCTCAGCTTGGGCGCCACTGTGTGTCACACCCCGTGTGATGCTCTGCTAGGACCTGTGGAGGAGTGGGTGACAGGGTGGGCATGTGCCCTCCACACGCAAGGCACTGGGCAGCTCGGGCTTAGCAGACCCCCACACCTGAGGCTCAGAGAATTCTGGTGGCAGTGCAGGCACCCAGAGCAGAGCCCGAGGCGCGACCCTGCAAGGACAACGAAGTTGCAGGAGTAGGGCCCGCTGTTTCCTAAGAACACAGAGAGTGGCACCCCAAAAGCTGAATAGAGAACATTTGGGGGGAGATGAGAGCACAAGAACTCCCAAAGCAGGGAGCGACGCAGTTGTCACTGTGGTAGTGAGGCCCAGGAGCAGCGGCCTGGAAGCCGTGAAGCTGGTGGCGGGCGGAAGGCAAGTCAGCAGAGGCCAGGAGGAGGCCCCCATTCAAGTTTCCCAACAGGCAACAGGATGGAAACAGCACTTCAGAAACACCATGGGGCAGGGAGTGAGCCGCAGGCAGGTCAGCAAGGACGGCTGCAGGGGCCCTGCGGAGGCACCAGGGCAGGCACGGGGGTGGGCGTGGAGGCCGACGAGGAGTCAGGCCCTCGCCGAGGGCCCCACTCACAGCGCCTGGTGGTGAGGAGAGGAAGACGGTGCCCGGGAGCAGAAGGGAGGCCCTGGCGGCGCCACTCCCACATGCAACTTTGCCCAAAGGAGGAATCTTCACTCATCGGGGACCCCCGGGCACCTCCAGCCACCTACCCCGCAGGTGTCTGGCCAGCGAGGCCGAGAGTGACGGGAAGAACAGGAGAGGAGAGGCCACGAGACAGAGCGGAGGCCCCGCTCGGGTGAGAGGGGCCAGCTAAGGCTGCGGTGGGCGCGACGGGGACAGCGGCCCAGGAAGGACAGAGGCTGTGCCTGGGTTTGAAGAACGCCCAGTCAGACGTGACTTCACTCAGTTCCATGTTCAAAGAGGAGAGCAATGGAGAAGGAGCAGACTCAAGACGCTCGTGTGTGTCACAGAAAAAAAGGCAACAGGCCTGAGCCTCCCGGGTGGCGGAGGTGGGAGGAGGAGGGTGTCGACGGCTCCCAGGCGGTGGCTCTGGGACGGGCGTGAGGAAGGCTGAGACAGGATGAAGATTGAAGGCCTCTATTTTCTCTGGGAAGTAGAAGGCAAGGTCACCTGCGTGGTGCGAGGCAGAGCGAGGTGAAGAGGCTTGATGAAAGCGGCGAAGGTCTAAAAGAACTGCCAAGGATAATGTGAAAAGCAGCTGATGAGGGACAAGTAAAAGGATTGCCAAGCAGCGCTGCAAGTCGCGCTGTGATTGGAATCCATAAATTTGCAATGGCACCAATCAATGCCTGGTGGGTCCCCCCACCGCCCGGCAGGCCCAGGATGGAGGAGGCCAGCAGGCGGCCAGGCGCGCGGAGCCCGCAAGGCAGAAGCACTGTCAAAGGGACAGGGATGGGCCTGAACAGGTGGGAGGAGCGAGGGAGCAGCCAGGAGGCCCGATGGGCACAGACCGTGGGCACAGGGCTCTCATAGCCTCCAGGCAGGCTCAGGGCTGCAGGAGACACAGAGGGCAAGTGGGTGAGAGCAGGGAAGGCTGTCTTTGGGACAGAGGGGCAGCGTGGTTCTGGAGACACCTGGGCAGGTGCAGGGTCCAGGTAGGGGTGGCTGCCCCAGAAGCAGCTTGGGCTAAGGGGGCGGGGTGGCGACCACACAGGCCAGCCCTCGGCAGCACGGGCCAAGCCTCAGGCACCGAGCAAGGACTGCGATCAAAACCAGAGCGCCCACCCCCGCCTTCCTGGGACCAGGTGGATGGCAATGACCGTGGCAAAGCTAAAGGAGGGCAAACCCCCTGACACAGGGCATCTCCTTTTCAAGACCGTGTCCAAAAGAAATAGAAAAAGCAACTGCATCTGGTCTGACGCTGGCTGCTCCACCGCGCAGAAGTGTGGAGAGCGGCCCGAGCACCCACACAATGGAACCCATGGAGACCGAGCGGGTGAAGTGTCTGCGGCACGCAGATGAGCCTTCTGGAGCAGAAAATCCACCCCACTCATCTCTTTATCCCTAGCGCAAGCACCGTGCTTGGCTCGCCGCGGCGGGCACTCAGAAGCTGTCGGAATAAATGAACGAACGGGAGAAATTACACCTCGAGATAATTAGACCGACACGGGGGGGAGGGGTGTGAGCACCTCAAAAGCAAGATGTAAAAATAATCAGAGGATGATGTCAGGAGAGTGGAGACAGGGTGGCTTTTTCCTTTATTGGAGCCTGTCACACTAACAGTTAAAAAGGACATCTGCTCCTTTAAAGCTTGGGTTAAGAGGAAGAGAAGCCAACATTTTAGAGTTTCTTGAAAATAACAGTAAAGAAAAACATGGTATACCATGAAAAAGGACAGAGCCATTTACTTTAGTGAAAACCCATCTCCAAATAAACTGAGGCACGGCTGTTGGCCGCAACAATGCTAAAGTGGCAAATAGCAATAACTTAAGTGCCCCCCCAACGAGGGACGCCACATCTCCCCAGAGAGTGCTGGGTCGCTGGACGCGCCCCTGGATGGCTCTGGACGACCCGGGCACCCCGGGCAGCGGGTCAAGCAGGGCATGGAGCAGCAGGGAGAGTGGGGTGCCACCTGCTCCATCCCCCTAGAGTTGTGTGAAGTGTGTGGCCCCTCCAAAGGTCAGACGAACCCAAACCAACAAAAACCGGTTTCCTATGTGTGTGTGGGGGGGTGGAAGTGTGGAAATCAGACCTCTCAAATGCACTTTCACAGATTTGACTTTGGAATCAAGTAATAACTTTTTAAATAGCTCTAAGTCTAAATTAAATCAAAATGCAAATGCTAAAGTCATTCATAAAAACAAAACACAACGAGCCTGACTGTGTATCAAGTTGGCAGCTGAGCCAGAGAGAAAAGGGTCGACGCGAGTGGCTTCAGAGCACAGTGATACCAAGGAGACAGCGCCTCAGTGGGAGCGAGCCCCAAGGAGGGACTGCGAAGAAATCTGGACGATACTAAGCAGCCCCCACACCATTAGTAGTAACACTGATGTTTTAATGTGGACATACACACAACACACACCAACGTTATTAAGAAGCAAGACTTGTCTCGTGTAATAAAAAATACATCTATAAACTCAAATAAGTAAAAGTCTCATCATCTGAAATTTCAGTTGAAAATATCAACATAAACTCACAGGGAATTTTTTTTGTTTTAAGACAAAAAATTGCTGTCACCAGAGCAATGGCTCTCCAGGTGGCAACGGGTACCCCTAGAACCACGTCCTTCTGCCCGCATAAAGGAAACCGGCTGACCAGGGAGAGGCGAGCCGGCAGAGCCACCCAGGCGGGTGGGAAGACTCAGGAGCCACCCTGAAGGGCTCCCAGGGCGAGAGCGGGGACGGTCTGCTCAGCAGAAGGAATGATAATGACTGTGGATTAAAATGTAAATCCAGTAGTTCATAATAATACTCATAATAAGCAAGTTTTTAAACCGAATTGGCAATCTTTGCAGATTATAGCAAGGTCACCAACTCGGTATTTGGGAAATTGGCGAACGGGAGAAGGGGGAGTATCTGTCCTGTCTTTCCTACACCGCCAGCAGGCTTTCAGGGGTACCAAGGAGCCGAAGGGAAGTTCTTCATAGAATTCCAGCTGCCAAGCTAACGAGGAGTGACAGGGTCAGTGTGTCACAGTCTGCAGCCCATGAGGCCATCCTGGGGGTGGACAGACAGCGGCTGTCCACGGAGGCACACAGGCTGAACGGGCGAGACTGAGGAGACTTGGGCCAGTGGCCAAACCGTGGGGTCCCCCAACGGCCACGGCAGGAAAGGACAGTCCCACTGAGAAGTATTCCCCGAAGATACCACAATCTGCGTGTCACGGGGCCTCCAGACCCGACACCGTGCGGAGGGAACAGAAAGACCCACCAGGGACGCCGCGGGGCCCCATCAGCCAGATCTAAGTGTGGGAAGTTCTGAAAGACGAACCCGGTGTCCTCGACAAACAGCCAGGAGGAGCGAAAGCCATAGTTAAAAGGAAGAGAGAGTGAAAAGGCAGAGCGGCCAAACGTAAGGTGAGGGTCTGTGAGGACTCTGGTGTGACCAGACGGTCTGCAAAACACCAGGCTGTTGGGAAAGCGGACAATGGTCAGCTCCAAAGGGACGTAAAGGACGTGCTACCCGCTGGGGCACACGCGACGCCAGGCCTCCTGTAGTGTGCGTGTTTCTCAGAGAGCAACACTGAAGCGTTCGCAGCTGACATGAGCAGAGTCTGGGAACCGATCTCACCTGGGAAGGCGAATGAAAGAGGACGGTCAGACGTCCATGGCGCAGAAGCTGCGCGAAGACCACTGGCCGTGCGTTCAAATAGTCTCTCTACTGCCATGTGTGTGTGAAAATTTCCATAATAAACAGTTTAAAAAAAGAGACAAACAGCTCAAGACAATAAGGACAAGGGGTGTGTGTCTCCCTACAGTGAGCGGAGGAGCTGGGGACAGAGGCCTTTTGTTCTCGAATAAATGAACTCAAAGGACCGGCCCTGAATCACGGACACCGGCTAGCGTGTGACCGGAGGGATCTGCATGGAGAGCTCAAGAGCCCAGTCTCCAGACCTGATTGTTTGGGTCCGCGAGGCAGCGTACAACAATAGGCGTGAGGTGCTCGGACAGCAGCAGCGGAAAATCTGATCTGTTTTCTTGTAAAAAGATGGCGACAGGAGGGATCTGCTCCACCAGCTCAGTCCGCACTGTGGGCTCTGCAGTGGCGGAAAATAAAAAAGAATTACATTAAGGCTAAGTCGAGCATCTGATATAGTTTACACGGATAGTTTCTAGCTTTTCTCACTAAAATACTTCATCAAGGAAATTAGACAAATGCAGTTTAAAAATCATTTCCCATTTAGAGTATTTATGCTACAGACAGGTTTAAAAAGCTAATAAGCTATACAGCAATATAAAAACATGGAAAGAAGAGCGGATGACAAGTCTATTACAACAAGCCATATATAAATCGAGGCGGGAGCAGGAGTCTGCGTGCTGGGCCAGCGTCCAAAAGCCATTACAACTAATGGCATATATGCCAGACCTATGGGTTGGGCTTATTTCAATTCTAGCCAGAACATATACATTATAAATAATGCTTTCATAAATGCACTCCCCCACAATCCACGCATCCCAATTATTTCTAAGAAGGCAAAGCATTAAACAAAAGAGCGGCTCTAACTCCAATATACCACATTAAATTTAACACAAATATATAATTGCTTCAGCACTGTAAATGGTGGCTCATCTACAAAGAGAATCCATTTAAGGACTCAAAACATCCACTTGGGCCTTTTTAAAAGCGTTGTGTCATATTCATACGAATGTTTTAAACTAATATAAGAGCTGTATGGAAGGCTCATTTTTACATTTTCATTTTAAAATGATCAAGCCCTACAGCAAACCTAAGATTTCCAAAACTTTCCAAAGCTGCTGACCAGTCATTATAAACGCAGGGCGGGGCGGGGGGTGCACAGCAGCCAGTACTGCACCCCCGTCCACCCTGAGGGGGAGGGGGGCAGCGTCACAGCATCTACCGTGACCGCAGTATGCGTTCCTTCCAGAACAGCAATCAAGGAGGAGGAGAAAGAGAAAGGAAAATCAAGAGTAGCCCACAAAGATCACAGGTGAGGGAAACTGATGCCTGGGGCTGTTCTGACCGGAGGCCCTCTTCTGATTCGGTGTCTCTTAGCAACAAGGTCTGACAACACTCGCGACACACAACAGGCCTAACTGCCAGGGCAAACGGCATCCACGCCACTCTGGCGTGGCCACTCTGACTTTCCCAAAACAAGGATAACTGGATGCCAAAAGAGACACGCATTCTTCATGACGATCTTCATGAAGATATATCGATTAATAAATGGGCATTTAGTAAAATCACAGGTCACAGGCGCTGTCTTGAACACACACAAGTAAGACAACGAAAGCATGCACTCCTTTGGCAAACCTGGATCTTCAGACAGTCTGAGCACGATCTCCATGACCGTCAGGAAGTCCTCCTCGCTGTGGCTGAAGTCCCGGAAGATGTCCAGGAGGCCACGGGCGATGATCTGGCTGTGGAGACAAGAAGAGGCCTGTGCAGCGACGGGCAGCAGGGACAGCCGCCTGGCGCTGCCAGGAACCGGGGACACGACCTGAAGCAAGGGGCATCGGTGGCCGCTGTCGAGGGGTAGAGACCGCCCCACAAGGCCCAGGGGTGGACATTCCAATGGGGCCAGGATCCTACAGGAATGGGGCCTGTCCTCCAGCCCGGCTGTCCAGGGAGGTCAAACATACACTGGACGAGGCGACGGAAACCCTTTCCCTCTCTGAAGGATTCTTCAGGCCGAGAGACTGAGAAGAGTGGCCCCCTGACCGTGTGTGGGGGGGCGGAATTAAGTGACCCTTCCCTGCAAGAGAGCCCCAAAGGGGCATCTCAATGACGGAATGACTGCCCCCACCAGGTGACACGAGCAGCTCTCTGGCTGCTTACCCACCCCATAACGTGACACCCCAAATATCCCCAGACATCCCTGGAGGTCCACTGGGGGCAGCTCTCCCCTGGTGGAGAACCACTACCCAGAGGATACTAGAGGGAGGCGGAGGGGACTCCACGATCTCTGCAACTCAGTAGCACATCTAAGAAGTCACATGGAGGAAACGTGCTAGAAAAGCTAAAGCTATGATACCCCGTGCTGCCAAGACAGGAGAACAAAACCCACATCGCTGGAGGGAACACAAAACAGGGCAAGGGATTTGGGAAACAAGTCGGCAGTTTCTTGATAAAGCTGAACAGCAATTCCCTCGTAGGTATTTACCCAAATGAAATGAAAACGTACGTCCACACACAGACCTGGACACGCATGCTCACATTACCCCAGTCACAACAGCCACAAAACGCTAAACCCCCGTGGAGGAACGCACAGAGAGAACACGGAAAATCCAGCTCGTGGAATACTACTCAGCCACAAAAAAAGAATGAACTATGGTAACAAGGAACAAAGTCCAAATGCATTCTTCTAAGTAGAAAAAGTTAGGCTGCAAAGACTATATACAATTCTAAAAAAGGCAAACCCTCAGTATCAAGGCTGCCTGGGGTGGGGGGAGGGAGGCACTGACCACAGGGGGCAAGCGAGGACCTCGTTGGGGTGATGGAAATGCTCAAACCCAATGGAGGGGCGGCTGCGTGCCTTCAGTCACCCAAACTACACTCACTAGCTAGACACTAAGTGGGTGAAGCTTACCGCATAAACTACACTTCATAAAGCCATTTTCATCAGAGATGCTGCTGGAGGGAACAGCAGCCCACCACGGAGGGGCTACGGGGGTCTGGGGCCCCAGCGTGCGCACAGGCTGGCGCTCCCGGAAAGCCCCTTGGAGCGATGGCAAGGAGCCCTGCCCACTGCCTGGCCCCGCTGGGTAGCTGACAGGCAGCAGCAGCACACGTCGCTTCTGGGGCGGCAGCAGAACGGCCAGCACCGAACCCTGCCCAGATACATGGAAAGGAAGGTTAGAAATGTGGGGTTCAAAGAGGCGGTCTGTTGCCCCAGCACACGATGGGAAGAAATCCGTCAACTCCACTCACTCCAAGGCCTGTCCCAGAGAGCCCTACCCCACCCCCGGCATGAAAGCTCCTGGTCTGGCAGCCAGGAGGTTTGGGGAAGTCGAAACAGACGCTGCAGAGACCCTGATTACATTTCGCCTGACCACATTCCTGTTCAGCCTCCCCTGGGAAATCAAGCAACTACAATCCCCAATCTGCTTCTAGGGCCACAGAACAGACAGATCTGCGTCCACTCAAGTGGTCCCCCAGGGCCCTGCCCCATTAGGGGAAGCGAGGAAAAGGCTGTGGGGAAAGGCTCTGAGCCGAAACAAGTCCACCGCAGTGAACTGGGAACAGGCAGGAGCTGCATCCTAACACACATGCTGTCTGTGCAGGGAAACACACAGCCCCGTTAGAGACGCACGGCGCAAACGCACACACACTTTGGAGCAGCATTTTGGGAAGCCTGGCCGCTTCCTTGGCATGAGCCGGAGCGGTCAGAAAGGCTGAGGCCGGGACAGTGTGGGCCTTGACTGCACGCCTGGGCTGTGTCACCCCCACAAGAGCAGAGAACAAGGGGCTGCCTTGGAGAGGCGTGAGGAGGAGGAAGCTGGGCCCGGTACTCCAAGCCCCAGCACACGGTCACCGGTGCTCCCATGTAAGCGGAGGGTTACCCCGGCCACCCACAGCCCGTGGGAGAGCGACACCTAGTAACTGCAGACACACCACATGCTGGCACACGATAAGAGCCTCGCCACAGGTTCTGAGTTTGAAAGATGCCCACGACACATTAAACTAAAAAACAGGTTGCAGAATTTTATATACAGCATGAGCCCATTTCTTAACACAAATCATATCATCATGTGCACGCACGTGCAGGAGAGGCACACGCGAACAGTCATGGGCACATGGACTCGGGAAAGTCTGGAAGTGTGCACTGCTCCGACGTGCAACCAAGACTGAGAACAGGGGAAGGACACTCACTACTGAATTCCCGAAACTGCTAAGCACTGTGATAAGAATGTGTTACCTTTGTGAAGTGTTTAAAACAGGAAGACAGAGCAGGGCTCCACGTTGCATGCCCGTGTTCCCCAGAAATGTAGCCGGAGAGCAAGGCCTTGGGTCCCCGCACGCTCGTGTGGCGCAGAGCTCCAGCCCAGGGCAGCAGCTGGGACAGAGACGAGCGAGCTCCAGGCCCTGCCCTGGCAGAGCTCGCAGCCCAGGAGCCGGCCCCAACGAGGACGCACAGCGACAGGCCCTCGTGCTTTAAAGAGGTATGTGGAGAAGCCAGCCAGGACGACGGGCATGAACATGAGGGAAGCAGGCGAGGCAGGAGCTGTGAGGACAGTACTCCTGCAGTCAGGACCGTCATCAGGATTCAAAGTAAGTGTGGCGGAAGAATCTTCTGTAAGGGCCAGGCGTGCAAGGGGAGGGAAGGGATACGGCAGCTCCACTTGCTGCTCCGTTTGTCCGTCAGCCTCAAAAACAAAAGTCTATCGATGAAAAGTGATGTGAAGAAAAGTGATGTGAAAATAAAAGTGATGTGAAGACTTTTCGGCCAAAGGAAAGCTGTGCGGATTGCTGCAAGAGGTCTTGTACTAACACATACTGTTAAAGGAGGTTCCTGGAAGCAACAGGGTGCCTGACGAAAACAGGTGTTTTACAGAAAAAGGTGAAACAGCACGTTAATGGTGAAGATGGTGGCAAATATGTTTCTTTTTTTTTTTTTAAAGATTTATTTATTTATGCATACAAGAGCTGGGGTACAGGCCAGAGATGCAGGGGGTGAGAAGATCCACCAGTGACAGAGAGGGGAACAGAACGGGCAGACTGACTGAAATACGCTGCTGAGAGGATTAGTGGGCAAGACAGGAGAGGTCCGCCTCACCATGTGGGTTTCTCCCTGGCTGGCTGGGGATCGAACTCGGGCTGCAGAGGCTGTGGATTGCTTCATAGTGCGGTGCTCAATCCCTTGCGCCACCAGGGAGGCCCAGAAAATATGTTTCTTAATTCTAATTACATGAAAAGGCAGTTGACTAACACAAATGCAGCAGCCTTCTCTGTCCTGCACAATCTGCAAAGTGGAATCATTCTGGAACACACTGTGTTAAAGAAGTATTTTATAATCCTTAGAAGTATTTTATAATCCTGAGAATAACCAGTAAAAACTTCTAGAAAGGTGTGCAACTAATATGCTAATAGCAAGTGGAGAGCAAAATTACCTTTAAAGTTCACTTAATTTTTCTTAAAAAGTCAAGAAAAAAAGGAAATCAACAAGAAGAGTTGACACAAACAGAAAACAAGAAGCAAGATGGTGCTTATATCAAACCACAGCAGCAGCAGCTGCTAATGTACCTGTGCGAAACATTCAAATGAAAAGACAAGAATGTCAAACTGGAGGAGAAAGCAAGATCCAATTAAATGCCCTCGACAACAAACACGCTTTCACTATAAGACAGACATCGGCTAAAAAACAAAAGCACCAGCAAAAATACACCATATAAACACCAACCAAAAGAAAGCTGCGCACATACAACATCAGAAAAAGGAATACTACCTCTTTAGAAAAAAGGGATAAAGAGGGACATTACACGGCGACAAAGAGATCGATTTATTCCGGACAGAACAATATTAAATGTGCAGGCAGCCGGCAACACAGCTTCAAGAGACAAAGAAATAACTGAACTAGAAAACAACTGAACAGAACTGCAAGGAAGAGAGATCCAGAATTACAGTTGCAGAGTCCACATTCCTCTCTCGGTAATTGACAGAACACGTCTGCAGAAGATAAATTAGGATATGGAGGACCTGAGCGATGCTTTCAGCTGGTCCTAATTGACATTTATAAGCTCCACTGGAGAGCACATTCTCTTCAGGCACGCATGGAAGAGTACCCAAGTCAGAGCAGACTCGGAGCCATAAAACCAATCTCATCAAGTTGATAACAGGAAAAATAATAAAAGCTATGTTCTCTGACCACGGAAGACTCGCACTAAGACTCAAACAACAGAGAGATACTGGAAAATCTTCACATATTTGGAAATTGAACAACACATTTCTAAATAACTCACTGTTCAAAGAAGAAACTGCTATAGAGGTTAAAAATAATTTACATTAAAGGAAATAAAAACATTACATATCAAAACCTGAGGATACAGAGACTATAATACTTAGGTACCTACAGTACTTTCTAATTCTTTTTTTTTTTAAAGATTTATTTATTGGGGCCTCCCCTGGTGGTGCAGCAGGTTGAGCACAGCGCTGTGAAGCTGTCTGCAGCCTCTGCAGTGCTGGTTTGATCCCGGCCGGCAGGCGAGAATCCCACATGGCACAGCAGACCTCTCCTGTCTCCCCTGCTGCTTCCCCTCAACGGTGTATTTCAGTCAGTCTGCCTGTTCTGTTCCCCACTCTGTCTCTGGTGAATCCTTTCACCCTCCCGCGCATCTGGCCTGTACCCTGGTTCTTGTATGCATGAATAAATAAAATCTAAAAAAAGAAGAGATTTATTTATGCATGCAAGAGCAGGAGGTGGTGTGGGGGCGGGGGGAGTGAGAGGATTCACCAGAGACAGAGTGGGGAGCAGAACAGGCAGATTGACCGAAATACACTGCTGAGGGGAGCAGCGGGCGAGGCGGGAGAGGTCTGCTGCGCCATGTGGACAGCTCCCTGGCCGGGGATCGAATTCATGCTGCAGTGGCTGCCGATGCCTCATAATGCTGTGACTTAACCCCTTGCGCCACCAGGGAAGCCCACTTTCTAATTCTTAATAGCAATCTTACAGGGGAAAATGCAGATGCTATGAAAGAAAAGTGAAAAAAATAAAGAATTAAACATTCCTTAAAGGAAACAAGAAAAAGAAGAGCAATTAAAGTCCCCCAAAAAAAGTTTCAAGGAAGAAAACACTACCAGTTAGAACAGAAATAACTGAACTGGAAAACATGTAATAAGAAAGTGAGTTAAAACTTGACTCCCCAAAATAACAAATAAACTTGGTGATACACTGGTAAGAATTATCTAGTGGGGGGAAAAGCAATAATAACCAATAACAAGGTGGAAATGGTGCCATACTACACATTTCACAGACAACAGAAAGAAAAATTCCATTCTCCAACACACGATTAAGTAGCGGATCTGAGCGATGCTTGCCCGACTGCCAAAACTATTAGAATGCAAGCTGGCGAGGATTTTACAATGACAGAGTCCAATGCCCGAGCCCACTTAACAAATCCACTCAGTGGTCACATCTCTTAAAGCAGGACAAGCTTCCTGATACTGCTTCCTGACGTTGCGTGATAAACAGCACAGAAAACAACATAAGAAGTATGGTCAAAATAAAAAGTAAAGCAGAATCTAATCAAGCCTCCAACTCTGAATCATTAGGTAGCTACCTAATGAAGTGTGTGAACTCTGCATGATGATTCAAAGTTTAGAAGCACTTCAGGGCCTCCCTGATGGCACAAGGGATTAAGACGCAGATATGAAGCTGTCCACAGACACTGCAGCACGATTTCAATTCCCGGGCAGGGAGCTTCCCACATGGCGCAGCAGACCTCTCCTGTCTCCCCGCTGCTCCCCTCAGCAGTGGATTTCAGTCAGTCTGCCTGTTCTGTTCCCCACTCTGTCTCTGGTGGGTCCTCTCACCTTCCACACCTCTGGCCTGTACCTCAGCTCTTGTATGCATAAATAAATAATCTTTAAAAAAAAATAAACAGGCACTTCACAAAAGGAAGCACAGGGGTCCAGCAGCATAGGGGAAGGTGTACAAGTTCGTAAATGAGGAAAATGTAAATCAAACCACAAAACAGCAGCGTCATGCCAGTGGCGCTGCACCACCAGACTGGCTAACACCCTCAAATCCAACAATACCAGCTGACAGGGAAGATGTAGGGCAGTGGGGGACGTTCAGAGGCCAGGCCAGAGATGGTGGGTTCATGGGCGAGAAGGCACAGTTGACAGCCGGGGTGAGAGAGGGAGCACCCAAGCCCCAGGCCAGGGCAAGGAGGAAGACTCCCTCCTGCTACGGAGGGAAGGATGCTTCCAGGCTCAGCTAAGTTTGGGCAGGGCAGAGACTGAAAGTGGTGCTTCAGTTTCTGCTTTTTTCATGAAGTAGGAGTCAAGGTCGTCCCTGGAAGCAGGGCGCACGGTGTGAGCTGAGCCGAGTCCTGCCAGCACCATCAGGCGCGACCGTGGCATGGGGCTGGGCGCAGCCCAGAGCCAAGCTGAGCGGGCGCGGCCCAGTTAAGTGATGCGTTTTACTTCCCTGCGTGCTGCAAGGGCAAGAAAGCCAGTTAGCCACCCTAATTATTTAAACACCATTAAACTTCATCACCATTTCCTTCCCGGCTTGCCAGGTGGTCAGTAAAACGGTAACAAGAATTATGGAGCAGCCCCATAAAACGGTGCTGCGCCGACAGCATCCCAGCCTCCTGGAGACAGCCTGTCCCCAAGTCAGCCCCGAGCCCTCGAAGCTGTCACAGAGAAGTGGCTCCAGGTCAGCCTGCTCAGGAGGGAGGTCTGGCGCGCTTACCGGTTGAAGATGTTGTCGCTGAAAGCGTACTTTTCCAGGCGACTGAGTGGAGACAGGTTTTCCTGGCCCGGAATGTCCAAGAAGGCCGTAACCCTCATGCTGTCGCAATCTGGACCGTAGTCTTCAAATCCATCTAAAGGGAAGAGGGGGTCACACTCATAAACGTGCATCACCTGCAACCACCCACACAGGCAAAGGTGCAGCCTGCGCAGCTTTCCAGCCCTTTCAGCCGATGCCCCGGAACACCGCCCGCCAGACAACTCATCTGACACGCGGAGGCAGGTTTGACGCCCAAGAGAAAGGCTGCCAAGGCCCGAGTCATGCAGAAGAGCCGAATGCCCTCCTGGGAGTGCCATCTGTCTGGGGCGCGAGCCCCCTCTAACCACGGTGGCTGGAGTGCCATCCTCAGGAGCGGCCAACAAAGCAGCTCACCCTTGGAAGAGGCTGTGGAGTTCTGGTCAAACAGGCTTAAAGTGGTCACAAGGAAACTAAGTTGGACAGCACCAGCAAGACCCTGACAGTCAGTGGTCCGTATCTTGTCCTGAACCCTGCAGCTTCATCTATCCCCCGACATCCCCTCCTGTTGACCCCCCCACACCACACACACCCACAGCAACCCCCAACCACCTCCTCCACGGGACGCCCAACACCTCCTCCACGGGACGCCCAACAGGCTCCTCCATACTCACTCAGGTCCAAAGTGAGGCAGCTGCTTCCTCCGAGAGGCAGCTCCCCCATGGAGAAGGGCAGGCACCGCGGCCCCCTCTGCACAGGGGAGCTGAGCACCAGAGCTGACTCCAACACCCCAATGGAATAAATCCCCCAACTATTACTTTCCAGCTGTGTGACTAAAGAAAGTGACTTATCCTGTCTGCACTTCCATTTTCCCATATGTGGGGTGGTACTAAAGCCCCCCTAACCCTCAGGACTCTGGGACGAGCGGGCTTGGGCATGTCAAGACCTGCAGGGTCAGTCCTTGACCCGGCCAACACTCTCCCTGGCCACCACCCTGCACATTCGGGCTGCGGGGTGCGGACGCCTCTCTGTCCCTGGCACTGAAGTAGTTGGGCAAAGAGCATGGCGCGTGTGCACAGGCTGGCTGGCAAGAAAACCCAGCGTTCACTGGGGAGGCCGTCAGTGAGGGTTTAAAGGAAGAGATGCCAAGTTTGTGTCTAGGTGGTTGTTACTCTTTGAAATGCTAACCACTTTATTTTCTCAATTCTTTTAAGTTAGTAATTAGAGTTTATTAAAAATTTACACCATGTAAGAGTTACTCCGAGAGGTTTCATAAAGCATGACGACACACTGGGGAGGACAGGTGAGACAGCTGAACCCCTCCCTTCGCTGCAGGACCCTGGTGGGAAGCAAGCAGCCACCTGCACCTCAGCTGAGCCCCAGCCGCTCTCCCCGGGCAGCTCAGGCCCAAAGGCACCCGCAGCCGCCGAGCCCTGGATATTCACGGGCACCGCGGACCTGGCCTGGGGTTGATTTCAAAATACAAGGCTTAAAGCAGTGGTTCCTGGGCCTCCCCAGGGGCGCAGCGGTTGAGCGTTGAGTTGTGAAACTGCCCGCATCTCACCGGTTCGATCCCGGCCACTGGCGAGGGTTCCACATGGCGCGCAGACCTCTCCTGCCGCCCGCTGCTCCCCTCAGCAGTGTATTTCGTCAGTCTGCCTGCTCTGCTCTCCCCTCTGGCTCTGGTGAGTCCTCTCACCCTCCCGCGCTTCTGACTGTACCCAGTGCTGGTACAAATAAATAAATAAATCTTAAAAAAAAAATAAAATAGGGCCTCCCCGGTGGCGCAGCGGTTGAGCGCTGGGTTGCGAAGCTGCCCGCAGCCTCTGCGGCGCCGGTTCGATCCCCGGCTGCTCCCCGGCCACCAGAGGAGGGTCCCACATGGCGCGCAGACCTCTCCTGCCGCCCGCTGCTCCCCTCAGCAGTGTACCTCGGTCCTTCTGCCTGCTCTGCTCCCGGCTCTGGCTCTGGTGAATTCTCTCACCCTCCCGTGCTTCTGACTGTACCCAGTGCATGTATAAACGAAACAAACGAACAAACAAACAAATAAATAAATAAAACATGCCTCTATAAAAAAAGAAAAAAAAAAAAAATTAAAAAAAAAAAAAATAAATAAATAAAATAAAGCAGTGGTTCCTATATTTTGGCGGGGGGCGGGGTGCACAAGGGAGGTGTCACAGGCAGCTCTGGAGTTGATGATGCACGCGCGTGCACACACACACACACACATACACACAGCAGATCCAAAGGAAATACCAGACACCCTTCAAAAACTCTGTTTATCAGAGAACTAAGGAACTTAGCAATTAGTTCTACGAAAGATAAGTTATTATTGGGAAATATTAATGATTCTGTTCCACTAACCATATAAAACTATGCTACCACATACAAGGAAATAAAAGCTATTAGTCATAAAATATTGAAAAATAACTCATCCTTACTGGTTACTTCCTATAAGCCAAGAACTGTACTATGAGCTTTCTGTAGCAGAAGTTCATTAACTCTTGACAAAAACCTTATTATTTCCACACTTCTGTTAAGGAAAGTGAAGTTTGGAGAGATTAAGAAAGTTGCCTGAGGTCATAGGGCTGGGGGAGAAGGTCTGAGCTGAGCGCGGCCCCCCCCCCCGACATGGCACAGGCTGCCCTGCAGAGGGGACACACTCTGGTGTCATCTTCAAAGACATCCCACCCACCGCCCTGTCTGGGCCCTGGGCCTTACTGTGGCCCTCACTTGGTGCTTCAAATGCACCCAAATCCTCATCTCACTGATAGCGAGCGCTGTTCCCAGCGTGGGGAAGGAAGACTATGGCGTGGGGAGAAATGGAAAGGTGACGTTGCACCAACAAAGAAAAAGGGTCGGGACCAACCAAAAGATGGGTAAATATAAATAACCTTCCTTTCCTCCTTCTATGAAAGCTCTTTAAAATACCTGGTTACTAAAGCAAAAACTATGACTATGTGCTATTGAGTTTATGGCCTATACAGAAGGAAAATAGCAATAAGGCAAGAAAATAAAAGGCATAACAGATTAGAAAGGAAAAACTTGTCTTTACTCACAAACAGGGTTAGAAGATCCTAACAAAACTACCAAGAATCCACTAGAACTGAGTGAGTTGTGCAAGATCACAGGCTACATACAGGTAAAGATAAAAAAGCAGTTGTAGCATATTAGTAACACACAACTGGGTGATAAAATTTTTACAATGCCATTTCTGATAGCATCAAAAATATGAAATACTTAGGGTTAAATTTAACAAAATAAGTGCAAATTCTGCAATGAGAGAAAGCTTTAAAGAAATTTAAACACAGAATTATAGCAAGGGACACTGAAAGGGAGGCTATATACTGTGGAGGCCCAGGGTATGTGGGAAATCTCTGTGCCTGCCACTCAGTTTTGCCTGGAACCTAAAACTGCTCTACAAAACTAAAATCTATTTTTTAAGAGATAATAAGAACTATTATTAGCCAGAAAGAAAAAGAAAAAGAAAAATACCGGATGGTCTCACTCATAGCAGGAATCTAGAAACCCTAAATAAGGGACCAGGAAAACGAATAACTATAAGAAAGTGAAAATCAAAATCAACAAAAAACTATGAACCAGAGACACTTTTTGGGGGGTGGGGGGTGGGAGGGGAGGGATTGGGGTCAGAATGGGGGGGTTGCAATTGTATGGGGAATATAAAAATAAAATTTATTATTTAAAAAAAATAAATTAATTAAAAAAATAAAAAAACAAAAAAAATAAGAACTATTATTTATTGAATTCTTTTTTTGGGAATTTTTTTATTTTATGTATTTTTTACATCATTTTTCATTTTTGCACAATGTATGCATTTTCATCATGGTTATAGTCCCCATACAATCCTCACCCCCCTTGTTTTCATCCTGCTCCCTCCCCCATCCCCATATTGTATCTCTGGTTTTTAGTTGCTTGTTGATTTTGATTTTGACTTTATTATAATTAGGTTTTTTCCCAGTCCCTTATTTAGGTTTTCTAAATTCCTGCTATGAATGAGACCATCCGATATTTTTCTTTTTCTTTCTGGCTTATTTCACTGAGTATAAAGTCTATTTTTAAGAAATAGTTATACCATTTTCATGGATCAGCAGACTGAATATTGTTAAGGCACTGATTCTTGCCAAAATTGCCTTTTAATTCAATGTAATCCCAATCAAAACCCCAGCAATTAATTCTTTAGAAATCAATAGGCTGGCTCTAAATTTATCTGGAAATGCCGAGGTCTTAGAAGAGCCAAAACAACTTGGAAAAAGAAAGCCAAGTGGGATGACTCACGACTTCAAGATTTACTATCAAGACTCTGTGATAGTGGCTTCAGGACAAACACATAGATTAATGGAACATGAGAGAGAATCCATAAATAGATCCACAAATCTAAGGCCAATTAATTTTTTACAAAGGCACCAAGGTAATTCAATTCAGCAAACGGAGCAAGGATAACTGAATAAACACGTAGGGGAAATGAACCTTGGTCCTTACTGCATATAAAATAATTAACTCCAAATAGATTATAGACATAAATTCATAACACAAAATGACAAAACTTCTAGAAGAAAATATAGGAGAAAAATCTTTGTGCTCTTTGGTTAGGCAGAGATTCCTTAGAAAGCACAAAAAGCATGTGGCCCAAGAGGAAATACTGATGAATCAAACCACCAAAATGGAGAACTTGGGTTCTGCAAAATGCATTCTTGAGAAAATGGAATACTGAGGCACAGCCTGGAGAGATAATATTTGCTAAACACATATTTGATAAAGGATCTGTATCCAGCATGCATGAAGAAGTGCTACAGCTCATTATTAAACATGGGCAAAAGGCCCCCATAGATGCTCACCAAACAAAGTACATGAATGACCCACTGAAAGGAAAGGGTGTGGCTGTCGTTAGTGATGGACAGGGAGCCCGGCAACGTCCACTAAAGCCACAGGGGAAAGTGCCAGTGCCCACGAGGATGAGGAACCTTTTAACCTACCACTATTCGCCCCATGGACATGATCCAAGTGGAGCTCATTCCTGACTGGTGGAAATGAGAACGGCACAGCTACTAATGTGGCCTGGCAGTTTCCTAAAAAATAAATACACACTTAACCATCTGA